TCAGGTTCCTGCCCCCTCAGGTGTGTCCCAGGTAGACGCCGTTGACCCGGTCGAGGTTACTGGTGACTCTGGTGCTGCTGCGGGTGCTGAGCCTGGGGGTACTGACTCTGGGGGTGCTGACCCTGAGGGTGCGGGGCCTGGGGGTGCTACTGCTGGGGGTGCTGGGCGTGGGGGTGCTACTGCGGTGGGTGCGGAGCCTGGGGGTACTGGGCCGGGGGGTGCTGTGCCTGGAGGTGCTGAGTCTGGGGGTGCTGAGCTGGGAGCTGCTGGGCCTGAGGGTACTGAGCTGGGAGCTGCTGAGCCTGGGGGTGCTGCGCCTAGAGTTGCTGAGCCTGGGGTTTCTCCTGCTGCTGCGTCTCGCCGGGAGCCCCTCTCTCCACCGGAGCTGCGCGAGTGGTTCGCTCGCCGCTGGAGGCGTGCTGCTGAGTCTGGAGGTGCTGCTGGAGCTGGAGCTGGAGCTTCTTCGACCGTCGAGGGTGCGAGTGCTGCTGGTCTCGGAGCTGCTGGACCTACTGGTCCTCCTGGAGCTGGAGCTGCTGAGGGCGTTGGTGCTGAGCCTGCTGCTGTTGGACCTGCCGCTGGAGGTGTGGGTGGCGCTGGTGCTGTCGCTGAGGGTGCTGGTACTGTCCCTGCTGAGTCTGGAGCTGCCGCGCGGCCTCGGCCGTACTTCGTTCCGCTCCTGCAGCAGGTTCTTGGTCTTTCTCCTCCTGTAGAGGGTCCACCGCCTGTCCAGTCGCAGTCCCTACTGGAGCCTTCCTCTCCGCTGCCTGCTCCCTCTCCTTACACTGGTCCTACTGGAGGTCTTGCTGAGCGTCGTGAGCCTGCGTCTCGTCCCGCGTCGCCTGTTCGTGCTGCTCGCGCTAGTGGTCGCAGTTCGCGTCAGCGTCCTCCTCCTGTCCCTGGCACGCACCGGATGTCTCTGCGTCCGTCCACGGCTCCTCTGCGTGCCCCTTTGCCTTCTCCTCCTGAGTCCTCTCTTCCTGCGCTTGCCGACCCTGAGTCGGACTCTCTTCGCGCTGCCAGTCCTACTGTCACGCGTCTGCTTGCTACTGTCGTCACTGACCCCTCGTTTGAGTCCACTGCTGCGTCTGCTCTGGTCGCTGAGCTCGTTGACTTTGCTGCTCGCTGTCGTCTCGACTACGCTGCTAGTCTTGTTGCTGAGTCTGTGTCTGGCTGTCCTCCGTCCGTCGGGGGTGAGTGTGCTCTTGGCACGGACGTCCTAGAGGACAGGCAGGAGGAGTTACAGTGTCTAGCGGCTGCTTCACCTCATCTCGCGTCTGTACTGCTTGCCCCTGAGGGAGACCCGGATGCACTAGACATCCCGACTCCGCGTTCTTACGCGGAGGCCGTAGAGGGTCCCTACTCCTCTCAGTGGCAGGCAGCTATGGATGCAGAGATGGCTTCCTGGAAGTCCACAGGCACCTACGTTGACGCAGTTCCCCCTCCTGGGGCGAACATCGTCAGTGGCATGTGGATCTTCAGGGTGAAGCGACCGCCGGGCTCTCCACCTGTCTTCAAGGCACGGTACGTTGCTCGTGGCTTCAGTCAGCGGCAGGGAGTTGACTACTTTCAGACCTTCTCTCCCACCCCGAAGATGACCACTCTTCGGGTGCTGCTGCACATAGCCGCTCAGCGCGACTACGAGCTTCACTCTCTCGACTTCAGCACTGCGTTCCTGCAGGGTAGCCTGCACGAGGAGATCTGGCTGCGCCGTCCGCCTGGCTTCACTGGGACTTTCCCTCCTGGCACCCAGTGGAGCCTCCGACGGCCAGTCTACGGTCTCCGCCAGGCACCGCGTGAGTGGCACGACACACTGAGGACTACGCTTGCGGCTCTTGGGTTTGCTCCTTCTACTGCTGACCCGTCGCTGTTTCTTCGCACCGACGCTTCCCTGCCGCCGTTCTACATCCTCGTGTACGTCGACGACTTGGTCTTTGCCACAGCGGACACTGCTGGACTCGCCTACGTGAAGTCCGAGCTGCTGAAGAGACACACGTGCACAGACCTGGGTGAACTGCGCAGCTACCTTGGCTTGCAGATCACTCGGGATAGAGCACGCCGCACCATCACCTTGACTCAGTCACACATGGTGCAGCAGGTCCTTCAGCGCTTCGGCTTCACGTACTCCTCGCCTCAGGCCACTCCTCTGCCTACTCGCCACTCACTCTCAGCTCTGCCTTTGGATGAGTCCGTAGAGTCGAGTGGTCCGTATGCAGAGCTTGTTGGCTGCCTCATGTACCTGATGACCTGCACACGACCCGACCTCGCATACCCTCTGAGCATCCTTGCACGCTATGTTGCTCCTGGGAGACACCGACCAGAGCACATGGCTGCAGCGAAGAGGGTATTGCGCTACCTGTGCAGTACGTCAGGCATGGGGCTAGTGCTTGGAGGGCGCAGTCCAGTGGTCCTTACAGGCCACGCGGACGCTTCTTGGGCTGACGACTAGGCTACGCAGCGGTCGTCACAGGGTTACACCTTCAGCCTTGGTTCTGGCTCTGTCTCGTGGCGGTCTACTCGCTCGTCTTCGGTTCTCGGCTCCAGTTGTGAGGCTGAGATCTACGCCGGGGCCATGGCTGCACAGGAGCTTCGCTGGCTCACCTACCTGCTGACTGACCTTGGAGAGCCGCCTCGTTCTCCTCCAGTGCTGTACGTAGACAACAAGGCCATGCTGGCCTTGTGTCGAGAGCAGCGCTTGGAGCACAGAACGAAGCACATTGCTCTCCGCTACTTCCTTGCTCGTGAGCTGCAGCAGCGTGGTCAGTTGCGACTTGCGTACGTGGCCTCTGAGGCCAACACTGCTGATGTGTTCACCAAGGCACTCGCGCCTTGTGACCATCAGCGCTTTTGCACCCAGCTGGGTCTTGTGCCTGTCTTGCCTCACTTGCTCTCCTCTTGACTTCACTTGTACTGTGACATATATATATACCTGCTCTTGCTTGTCTAGTTTTATATATATGTCTGTACTCCTGCATGTGAACTGGCCTCTGGCCCTGCTCTTGTGCTCGGACTGTGTGGTGACTTTGTGATCCACCCCGAGCTTGCTTTGCTTTGCTTGACTGGTCTTGTGACCTCTTGTTTTCCCCCACTTTGCCTATGGGGGTGTGTCAGAACATATAGCTTACCTGTTTGTGTAGGCTACAGTGGGGTATCCCATAAGGGGTACAACACAATTAGGTTTCCCTTTTGTACCAATTCCTGACTCAGTCATTTCATTCCTGTTTACCTATCTTCACATTCGCCACCCCACGGGAATCAGGAGGATTGAATTCCTCATTCGCTGGAAGGACCGCACGCCAACTGAAGATAGCTGGGTGCCCCTGGCCAACATTGAAAACCACCCTGCCCTGCAAGTGTACCTGAGGAGCCGGGGATTCCGCGATATACACGCACTCGCGTAGCGGAGGGGGCTTCTTGAGGGGGGGGGGGATAGTGTAAGGAATTTTCTTGGCATTCCTTACGGAGCCCGACTACATCGCGTACAGCAACAGCCGTTGTTCGCCCGTTACTGCTAACGGGACTTCGCCAACTTCGCACGCACTGTTTTGCCAAACCTCGCACTGCTGGCCCGGCCGTGTCGGCCTACGCTTCAGGACTAGCCCGAGCCTCGCTACTAGTATAGCACTAGCTAGCTCGCACGCACCGCATTACCATTTTCATGTTTCGCGTATAATGTTTGCTCATGCCTTCGCTCACATCTTTGTACTCGTTTGACACCTTAGGGCGCGTAACCATTTTGCACCCGACGGAACGAACCGTGGACCGTCCGTCGTGGCGAATAGTTACTATTTTCGTTTAATGTCGTTCAGTTCTTCGTGAGGAAGTTTGCGACGTCGCTAAAATTTCGAACTGTCATGACACTTTTTCCGCTTTCCAACGACACGAAACTCTGACATCGGACTGTCCGAATCACAAACGGACTGTCCGTCTGTCCGCGCACGCGATTGGCGGGCGAAATTGGATTTCAGCGAACCGCCTCGCCAAAACATGAAAAAATGCGACTCGGATGCAAAGATTGACATTGACCAATCCTAACTAGCCATACTACAATACAAGAAGCCACGACATTGACCCACTTCTCATCACTACTCACTTCTCTGCACAATGGATCCCTCTAGCTACGCCCAGAACACCCAGTCTGACAACACTTCTCCCAACTCCCCACCACCGGGCTCTACCAATACTACCACTCCTGCCACAGCTGTTCCCGAAACACAAGAGTCCCGGATACCTGGTCCTTCTGGCATTGAATGGGCTTGGTTTGGATGGCCTTTGTGCTTGTTTGACATTTCCTATGTTTGTCAGAAGCGCTGAACTCAACTGGCGAAAATTGCGATGGGTTGTGACTGGCGTTACTGGTGTACATTTGAGATGGCGAAGGGAAAACCATCGCGAAACCCTAGCATGTGGAAAAAGTGTCACATCTGCCTTCGGACAGTCCGAAGTTGCAAACATTCAAATCGGACAGTCCGTTTCGTTATAAACGTACAGTCCGATTCCATATAATCAGACGGTACGTCAAAATCTAAAAATGCAAAATGGTTACGCGCCCTTAGTGCAATTCTCGCTACTTCGATTCATTGCACCCTAACACAGAGCCGCCAACTACTGGAGACGCCAACACCGCTGCCAACCTTTTCCCGCGCGATTACCAAAAACCATTCTCTGGGTTGCAGCTGCGTTTCAGCGCCCTCCACACTCATCATGCTCTTTCATCCCTGCTCTCACTGCTATCCTGCCTGCCATAACCGTAGTTTTACAAGCTCGCGTTGCTTCAAGGGTGTCCGCCAGACACTCTTGAAATGTGTAGCTGAACTTTAGCTGCGAGTTGCCCAAGTGCATTGTCGGCGAGCATTCTTGATTTATTCGCAATGCCTGCCGCCGCAAGGCACGTCGTTTCCCCCGCAATGTCGTGTCGTATCCAGCCATCTGTGACTGACGCGGTGCGAGATTGTCACTATCGAAGTCACATCCACGTGTCGTCGTCCGTGTTGCACGAAATGACGTCCTTTCGAAGCGCAGTGCGCTCTGCTGACGTGGCGCATTTCGTGGTCAGAAGACCACTTCTCGTGCCGAAAAATCTTCCCCATTCCCCTAGCGCGTTTCACCAGCGTCGCAAGACATACAGCGTACGCGTTATAAGGCCCGGATTCGAGGACAACAGCTCAAACGGTACGAGGCGCGCGGACGTACAATGCTGTAGCAACGACGCGGGAGCCAATAAAAGGCGCGACGCGAATGGTGATTTCAGCAGTGACAATAATTTAAGAAGAGGAAATGTTGACAATTGCCGAAGCGACACGAACCACAGCGGAAGAAGCTTCGATACAAGCAAATTCTGCAATGGCCAAGAGCCTGAGCCACGCGCGAACGGCAAAAGCTGGAAGGAGCAGCTGACGTGGCATATGCGGAACTCGACACTGGTGAGTGCTGGTAGAAAGCCAGTCTGGCTACGCGACGTGATATGCGACATTGGTGTGTAATTCCTGGCAACCTGATGATGCTATGTGGTATGATGGCAACCTGATCATGCAATGCGCTGGCAATCTGATGATGAGGCAATGTGGTATCCTGGCAATCGGATCATGCAATTTGTCGATCTGTCCTTCTCTCTCCGCCCTCCCTTCAGGCCCTCGTCCTGCTCTCTGCACCATTCCTCGCAGCCCTCGCGTCCCCCCTCACACCCTGCCCGCTCACACGCCTGCGTCTCGCCCCACCAACGGCCACAGCAGCCACTCTCTCTGCTTCCCCCGCCTCGCAAGAGACCAACCAGGAAGGCTCTTCCTCCCCTGGCTCTGCGGTTGCCGCTGCTGCTTGCACCACCACAGATCATCACAGCAGTGCTAATGCTGCTGGCGCAGCTGGTGCTGCTGATGGTGCTGTTGACACTGGAACCCTCAGCACAACCAGCACCACCACCACCCCTGCCGCTTCTGCTACAGCCACCCCATCCACCCGCCCATCCCCACCGCGAAGGACTGCATCCCTTCCCTTAGCCGCCACATCCCCCAACCTAGCGTCCATGTGGCAGCGCGTGATTGGCTCCACGTCAGAGTGGGTTCCCCGGCCAGTTGAAGGACAATTACGGCTACAGGTGGGACCGCCGGCGCCCCTCTTCACCCTTTCTGAAGCCCAAACCCACGCCAACAACCCTCAGAGCTCTTTGGGGGGCGATCATAGCCCCTCTGATTCATCCTTCAGCGCGCAGGACTGGCAGCAGCAGGGGCCGCGGCGGGGGGAGACGGGTATGGGCGTGCTGCTCTCGCCGGGGGGGGCGTGGGGGCGGCTGGTGAGGGAGTGGCGGTGGGCGCGCGTGCAGTACCTGTGGGACGTGCTGCTGGAACGACACCCTATTGTGTGCGTGTCTCTTCCCACCTGGACCTCCCATCCTCTCTCAAAACGTACCTTTGGGACGTGCTGCTGGAACGACACCCCATTGTGTATGCCCGTTAGGCATTTTGCTCTGCCCGCCCGGAGAGAGCATACCATCGAGTCGTCTTTTAAGTGAGTCGACTCAAAAGTCAACTCGGTGGGCGCGTGGATGTGCAGTACCTCTGGGGCTTGCTGCTGGAACGCCACCCCATCGTGTGCGGACCTCTTTCACCCTTTGCTCTCTTTCCTCCCACCTGGACCTGCCATCCTCTCTCTCAAAATGTACCTCTGGGGCGTGCTGCTGGAGCGCCAACCATATCGTGTGCGTCTCTTATATCTTTTGCTCTGCTCGCTCAGAGACAGCATAGCATTGAGTTGACTTTTGAGTCGACTCAAAAGTCAACTTGGTGGGCATGCGTGCAGTACCTGTGGGATGTGCTCCTGGAACGACGCCCTATTGGGTGCGTCCCTTGCTACGCCTGGGAGGTGCAGCTGCAGCGACATCCCATCATGTGCGCCCCTCACTCTGCGTTTCCTTGTACACTCACGATTATGCATCTCGTTCCCGTGCGGTGCCCCATCACATGCTTTCTCGTGCCATGCTATGCGATGCCCAACGCCATGCCTCACACCATTCCCCACACCACGCGACTCGCCCGCCATGCCTCATGCCCTGTGTACGCTACCCCTTGCCCCGCTACAGGTACATCATGCTGCTCATGACCATGTGCACAACACTTGTATTCCTCGGCGGCTTCCTCTTCCACACCTTCCGGTAACCACCACCTGCTCTCCACCGCACTGCCCTGGACCCCAGCCAGCTAGTCTTTGATGCTCCCCTCCCCCTGGGCCTGTCTCCCCTCCCACACACAAGCCTCGCGTATTTGCACGTTTCTCTGTCCCTTGACACAACCTTTACGTGTGCGTGAGACAAGCATCAAGCCGTGTGCCTGGCACTGTTGACAGCCTTTTGTTTCTGTAGGATGTGCATAGATCCACGGTCCATAACTTGGCACTGCACCATTGTAGTGCATGCATGCGCGTCCATTACACTGCAATCATCAATTGGAATGCATTGACCACGTTCGCTGCATTGACCGCGCATTGGGCCATGGCATGGCAGGCGGCACAAGAGTCTGGGCGAGGACATGTGGTCCGCCCTCGTGTCATCTAGCTCGCACCCGCACTGCATTTGCGTCCATTGCATGGCACTGCTCTCATGCTGCATTAACCGCATTAAACACATGGGGCCATGGCATGGCAGGCGGCACAAGAGTCTGGGGGAGGACATGTGGGACGCGTGGTCCGCCCTCGTGTCGTCCAGCTCGCACCTCAAGGTACCCCCCCTCCTCTGCCTACCCTCTTCACCCTCTGCCTCCTCTTCCTCTCTCCTCCTCTCCCCCTGTGCACGCATGTGTGTGGCGGTCTCGTCTCGTGTGGCGGTTGAGGTACGGTGGGGTGCGGTGGAGAGGAGCAGGCGGCCGCAGGAGCCGTTTGGGGAGGCGCTGTGGGACGCGTGGGGCAATGTGTGCTCGTCGCGCCAGCACCTCCGGGTACTGCCGCTGCCTCTTACCGCGCTCTTCACCTGCTTCTTAAGGCCATTCTCTCTGCTGCTTCTTAGGACACTCGCTGCTGCCTTGTCTGTTCGTTCGTGTCTTTTCTCTCCCTTACCCTTCTTGACTTGAGGGCGTTAATTGCTGTTTTTTGCCTTTGTGAGAAGCGCGTGACCATGTGTGATCTCAATCTTTCCCCCAGAGTCCTCCTGCTTGCTAGTGCTGCTGGTTGTTACTCCATGCGCCCTAGCCTCAACTGCATGAGACTTACGCAGTGCGAAACGGCATTTATCCACTGCTTGCTTGCTTGCTGCAGGCACTGCTGCCACTGTTGCCTGTGCTGCATTCGCCTCCCCCGTGCATGCTTTTCGTCTTCTCCCCTCCGCCCACATCACCCACCTGTAACCACCTATCCTTCTTCTCCCCTCCCCACTGTTCCCCTCCCCCCCCGTCCCCCTTTCCTCCTGCTCCCCCTCTCCCCTGCGTCTTGTGCTTGTTCATCAACTCGTGGGATGCACCACATGGCAGGAGAGCACGCAGGAGGGGAGGGTGATAGGCATCATGCTCACGCTGGGCGGGCTCTTCTTCTACTCGCTGCTCACCTCCACCATGACCGCACAGTTCAAGGTGCGCCTGCTCTCACGTGCTCTCAACCCGAAACTTAACCCTTCAACCACTAGCACCCCATCCTCCATGGCAGGCGATGTTGTTGCGTCCAGCTCTCCGTTTTTCTCTCACCTCCCCATTTTGAAACCCCTTTTCCTTGCCGTGGCCCACACCAATCTGCTCAGGAGTGCACCTGCTCATGCGCTGGTCTCATCGCAGCTCACCCAGTCCCCTGTCTCCACCCTCTCTCTCCCACCCTCACCATCGCCCTCTCTCTCCCACCCTCACCATCGCCCTCTCTCTCCCACCCTCACCATCGCCCTCTCTCTCCCACCCTCACCATCGCCCTCTCTCTCCCACCCTCACCATCGCCCTCTCTCTCCCACCCTCACCATCACCCTCTCTCTCCCACCCTCACCATCGCCCTCTCTCTCCCACCCTCACCATCGCCCTCTCTCTCCCACCCTCACCATCGCCCTCTCTCTCCCACCCTCACCATCGCCCTCTCTCTCCCACCCTCACCATCGCCCTCTCTCTCCCACCCTCACCATCGCCCTCTCTCTCCCACCCTCACCATCGCCCTCTCTCTCCCACCTTCGCCATCGCCCACCTGCCCTGCTCATCGCCCTTGTAGTCGCTGCTCACCTCCTCCTCCCGAGTCGCTATTCACCTCATCCCGCCCCACCCCCCTGTGAGCAGCTGCGAATGGAGTGGCTGAGGGAAGCGCTCATTCTCTCTGCCCTTGAACTCACCTCCACCTCCCCATTCACTGCTCGCCCCGCCCTCACCCCGCCCCCGCCCTGTGAGCAGCTGCGCATGGAGTGGCTTAGAGAAGGCGCTCACTCGCAGGTGAGAAGGGATCTGTGCTTTCCTTGGAGGTGTGCTGTGCTGTGCTGTGCGGTACTGTGCTGTGCTGTGGTGGTGCTGTGCTGTGCGGTGCTGTGCTGTGCAATGCTGTGCTGTGCGGTGCTGTGCTGTGCTGGCTGGCTGCCTGGAGGGCTGGCAGCACCCAGGCCAGTTAATGTGTTGTGAGTGCAACGTCAACCACTGACCCCTCCCCTCTGCACCCGCCCCTCCCCTCTGCACCCGCCCCTCCCCTCTGCACCTCGCCCCTCCCCTCTGCACCTCGCCCCTTCCCTCTGCACCCGCCCCTCCCCTCTGCACCTCGCCCCTTCCCTCTGCACCCGCCCCTCCCCTCTGCACCTCGCCCCTCCCCTCTGCACCTCGCCCCTTCCCTCTGCACCTCGCCCCTCCCCTCTGCACCTCGCCCCTTCCCTCTGCACCTCGCCCCTTCCCTCTGCACCTCGCCCCTCCCCTCTGCACCTCGCCCCTTCCGTGCGCTTCTCACGCCCCATCTCGCCCCCGTCTCTCCCCCACTAGGTGATGGAGCGAGATCACATAGTGATCCAGGGAATCAACAACCGCCTCGCCACGCTGCTCAGTCCTCATTTACTCACGCTCATCCCCTCCCTTGTTCTCCCCCACCAGGTGATGGAGCGAGATCACATAGTGATCGGGGGAATCAACAACCGCCTCGCCACGCTGCTCAGTCCTCATTTACTCACGCTCATCCTCTCCCTTGTTCTCCCCCACCAGGTGATGGAGCGCGATCACATAGTGATCGGGGGAATTAACAACCGCCTCGCCACACTACTGCGGCAGCTCAGCAAGAGCCAGCACTTTGCCGTGCAGGACGGCTCTGCAGTCACCAGGTGGGCAGGGGAGAAGTTCTTGTGGTGCTGATGCTGTGGTTGTGCTGCTGGAGAGTCCACCCTCCCAAGTGTTTGCTTAGCGAGAGTCAGCGGCAGGGCAGTCGCGAGCAGCAGGGTTGCCATGCCATGGTTGCGCCGCATGCCATGGTTGCGCCGCATGCCATGCCATTACCACTACCATAACCATTACCGTTACCATTACCATTATCATTACAAGTACCATTGCCATTACCATTACCATTACTATTACCATTACCACTACTATTACCATCACCATTTCCATTACCATTACCACTACCATTACCATCACCACTACCATTACCATTACCACTATCATTACTACTACCACTACCATTACCATTACCATTACCATTATCATTACCACTACCATTACCACTACCATTACTATTACCATTACCATTACGACTACCATTACCATTATCATTACCATTACAATTACCATTACCATTACCATTACCATTGCCATTGCCATTGCCATTGCCATTGCCATTGCCATAACCATTACTATTACTATTAACATTACCATTACCATTGAAATTACCATTACCATTACCATTATCACAACCACTACAATTACCATTATCATTATGATTACCATTACCACTACCACTACCACTACCATTACCATTACCATTATGACTACCATTACCATTACAATTACCATTACCATTACCATTACCATCACCATTACCATTATCACTACCACTACCATGCATCTTCGCCTCACATTGCACCACCCGCCCCACAGTGCCGTACGGCCCCTCCTCTCCCATAGACGATGGCGGCTGCTGTCATGCCAAAGCACTGCCGCTGCCTGCTCCCTCGCCCATGTGCACTTCTTGCTGCTCCTCTTCGCCCCACCACCTCTAAAATCTGCCTCTCTTTCAAACGCACCACCGCCCTTCTGCTCCCTCCCATCCCCCGCACCCACCCTTCCCCAGGAAGCGCACGGTGCTGCTGCTGACGGAGTTACCGCGCAAGGAGACGGAGAAGATAGTGTCGCCTTACCTCAAGGACTGCCACCACATCAACCTCTTCATCCGCAGGTGCCTCCACACGGCTTTTGCCACACACTACCCTTTTGCCACACACTACCCTTTTGCCACACACTACCCTTTTGCCACACACTACCCTTTTGCCACACACTACCCTTTTGCCACACACTACCCTTTTGCCACACACTACCCTTTTGCCACACACTACCCTTTTGCCACACACTACCCTTTTGCCACACACTACCCTTTTGCCACACACTACCCTTTTGCCACACACTACCCTTTTGCCACACACTACCCTTTTGCCACACACTACCCTTTTGCCACACACTACCCTTTTGCCACACACTACCCTTTTGCCACACACTACCCTTTTGCCACACACTACCCTTTTGCCACACACTACCCTTTTGCCACTTGCCATGCCGATTCCAGGCCAAGCCCACACTTCATAACCTCTGCCACTCGCCTCTTATCTCTCTCCACCGCTTGCCACCCCTCCTTCATCTTTGCATGCTCGAGATGGTCCTCTGACCGGCACATCATATCTGGTGATCATCATCATCCATTCCCCATACTGCCCCCTTCATTTTCTGCCATCTCCTCTCCCCTTTCTCTTTCCCCCTCTCCCCTATTCCCACTTCTCCCTCCATCGTCCCTCTGCTCCGCATCACTGCAGCGGCCCTCTCAGCAGCACCGCGTCGTTCAAGAAGGTGGCGGCAGACAGGGCGCGCTCAGTCATTCTCCTGGCGCCCAAGGACGACTAGTGAGTGCCCTGCTCAGTCATTCTCCTGGCGCCCAAGGACGACTAGTGAGTGCCCTGCTCAGTCATTCTCCTGGCGCCCAAGGACGACTAGTGAGTGCCCTGCTCAGTCATTCTCCTGGCGCCCAAGGACGACTAGTGAGTGCCCTGCTCAGTCATTCTCCTGGCGCCCAAGGACGACTAGTGAGTGCCCTGCTTCCTGCTGCGCGCACACCCCCTTCTAGCATTGCAGCAGCACGGCTTCTGAGGCGCCTCAAAAGCCCCCCTGCTGGAGCTGCAGCAGCATGCGTGCATGTCCCAGCAGCATGCGTGCATGTCCCAGCAGCATGCGTGCATGTCCCAGCAGCATGCGTGCATGTCCCAGCAGCATGCGTGCATGTCCCAGCAGCATGCGTGCATGTTCCAGCATCGTCTCAAGGCTCTACAAGGTGGCGGCCCACACCCTCTTGGCACCTCAACATCATGCATGCATGCTGCTCTCTGCCTCAGAGTCCCAGCACAGTCAGGTTGGCAGCGGTCCTCTCAGCAGCACGGCATCATTCAAGAAGGTCATAACAGACAGGGCGCGCTCAGTGATTCTCCTGGCGCCCAAGGACGACTTGTGAGTTTCAGTCACCGTTTTACTTGCTGCGCGCATACACTCCCTGCTAGCGTCCATCACTGCTCTGTGCCTTTCAGGCGTTGGGCTGCACTGCTCAACGCCTTTCATCCACCTCTCTCCCCTCTCCTTCCTCTCTTCCAGCTACGAGGCAGATGCAGACATGGTGATGTCGGTGATAGCCCTGAAACCCCTTCTTCGCAGCTCCAACACAGGCATGTTGGTGGAGGTGTCAAAGGGCAGCACAGGGTCGCTGCTGCGGGGCATGGCGGAGGTGCGGGTAGCAGTGATCCATGCCCTTACTCCACGTCTCCTCCCTTTCTTCCTTATTCCTTTTCATCCTCGCCTCTCCCACCACCAGCTACGAGGCAGATGCGGACGTGGTGATGTGAGTCAGCGCCCTCAAGCCCCTCCTAAGGGGCTCCAACAGGGGGGTGGTGGCGGAAGTGAGCAAGGGCAGCACAGGGTCGCTGCTGCGCGGCATGGCAGATGTGCGCGTGAGCGCTGTGGAGAATCTCTCCTCCAATGGGCAGCACTGCTCAACGCCTTTCATCCACCTCCTCTCCCTCCCCTTCCCCTCTTCCAGCTACGAGGCAGACGCAGACGTGGTGATGTCAGTCATAGCTCTTAAACCTTTGCTTCGCGGCTCCAACACAGGAGTAGTTGCAGAGGTATCAAAGGGCAGCACGGGGTCGCTGCTGCGGGGCATGGCGGAGGTGCGCGTGAGTGCCGTGGAGAATCTCTCTGCCAAGCTCTTCGTGCAGTGCTCTAGGCAACCGGGGCTTGTGGATGTGTACTGCAAGCTGCTTGATCATACTGGTGGGTGCGGGTGGAAATACCACACTGGGGGGGATATACAGGAGTGGGGTAGAGGGGTGAAGGGGAGCGCCGTGGAGAATCTCTCCGCCAAGCTCTTCGTGCAGTGCTCCCGACAGCCAGGCATGGTTGATGTGTTCTGCAAACCGCTGGACCACACCGGTGCGTTGGGGATGGGAGGAAGGGGCACCTCTCCACCGCCATGGAGAATCTCTCCGCCAAGCTCTTCGTGCAGTGCTCCCAGCAATTGGGCCTCGTTGATGTCTACTGCAAGCTGCTGGACCACACTGGTGCGTTGGGGATGGTGACAGGGTAGAGGAGGTATGGTATGAAAGGTGGGGGAAAACCAGGGGAGTTGGAGGGGAAGGGGCACCTCTCCACTGCCCTGGAGAATCTCTTCTCCAAGCTCTTTGTGCAGTGCTCCCAGCAACCGGGGCTCATTGATGGGTACTGCAAACTGCTGGACCACACTGGTGCGTTGGGGTTGGGCGGGGACCACACAGGTTACAGGGCATGGGGTAGGGTGTGAAGGGGAGTGATCTTCGTGCACGGTAGAGGGCATGGCGGAGGTGCGGGGCACCGCCGTGGAGAATCGCTCCGCCAAGCTCTTCGTGCAGTGCTCCCGGCAACCCGGGCTGGTTGATGTGTACTGCAAGCTGCTGGACCACACCGGTGCGTGCGGGTGGAGGGACCACACTGGGTGGGTGGGGGGGGAGTAACAAAGAGTGGGGTAGAGGGGTCAAGGGGAGCGCTGTGGCGAATCTCTCCGCCAAGCTCTTCGTGCAGTGCTCAAGGCAACCCGGGCTCATGGACACAGATGGTAGAGGACGTGTACTGCAAGCTGCTGGACCACACTGGCGGGTATGGGTGAACACAGACGGTAGAGGACGGGTAGGGGGCAGGGAATAGTGCAGGGCATCAAAGAAACGGTAGAGGCTCAAGGACGTGTGTGGTGGATAACAGGAGGGGCCCTGCGCTGCACACTGCAACCCTCCCTGCCCCCTCCCCTCTCGCATCCTCGCACTTTGCTTTTCCCGCTCGCCTCTCCTCTCTCCCCTGCCTTCACTGTCCACCTTCTCTCGTCCCCACCACCTCCATCTCCTCCCTCCTCCACCTCCCCTCTCCCCCGCCTCTTTCATGTTCCCATGCATTACCTTTCCCCGCCTCTTTCATCTTCTCATCATTACCTTTCCCCGTCTCCCCTCTGCCCCTCTCCCCCACCTCGCCTCGCCCCCCCAGACGAGGTGATCAACGTGAGAAGCTTCCCCTCACTTGCCGGCCTGCCCTACGGCCTTGTGCGCAGGGGCTTCCCCGAGGTGAGTCATGTGCGCAGGGGCTTCCCAGAGGTGAGTCATGCTGCGTGATCTGATCCATGATGGGATTAAGCGGGGGACAATGTATGCTCCTCTTCATGCTGACGCGTTTGTTTCACATTGTGCAGACAGCAAGGTGCAGCAAGGTGCAGCACGGTGCAGCACGGTCACCTAGGCATGGGCATCTGGCCCGACCCGGCCCGACCCGTCCCGTTTAGGGCGACCCGTTAGCTTAACGGGTCGGGTCGGGTCGGGTTAGCGGGTCGGGTTTGACTCTGTTTTGGTGACCCGACCCGCCCCGTTGGAACGGGTATTTGTGACCCGTAACCGGGTCGGTTACACCACGGGTCGGGTCGGGTCGGATCAAAATATGCTACATAGCAGCAGGGTATGGTGGCGCCTTGGCGCTGCTCCAGGTGGCGTTCGCGATGCTGGAGGTGGGGACCGCGATTCTGGCTGGTGGCGTTCGCGCTACTGCAAGGCCGCTATCGCGCTATTGTGGGGATGCGATCCCGCCAATGCGTGGCCGCGATCGCGCTGCCCTAATGTGGTGCCGCGATCGCGCATATGCAGGGCCGCGATCGCGCTGCGCAAATGCGGGGCCGAGATCGCGCTATTGCGGGGACACGATCCCGCCAATGCGTGGCCGCGATCCCGCCAATGCGTGGCCGCGATCCCGCCAATGCGTGGCCGCGAGTGCGCTGCTGCGCCCCTGGTCGTGCGACACTGCGTAATGGCAGGAGCGCCTATGCCTATAATGAATATAAATATTAAAATAGTGCTAACATTGAAGTGAAGACTGTAAGAGTTTTGGTAGGTGCAGTGGAGATTTACTAACTTGATTAGAGACTGGATCTGAATGTCGAGGGAAACAAAACATCAGAACCAACTGATGTTCTCCCCCTCTCCAAATTGTACCCTAAGCAGAGAACGGGTCGGGTAACCCTGTCATTTGACTGGGTATGCGACCCGGACGGGACGGGTCAACCCGACCCGGCGGGTCGCTGATACCCGTCTATAAGTCACATTGACGGGTCACGGGTCGACCCGACCCGCCCGGGTAAACCCGACCCGACCCGGACGGGTCGACATTCTCAGCATTCCTGACCCGACCCGCCATTTTAGGCGGGTCGGGTCGGGTAACCCGACCTGTCCGGGCCAAATGCCCATCCCTACGGTCACCTGTGATCACCTGCCATACCACCATCCCCATCCCTCTCTCTGCCTCCGACCTACCGAACCTTCACCTGAGCAGGCGGTGTGCTGTGGCATAGTGAGGGACGGCAAGGTGCAGTTCCACCCCAAGGACTCCGAGCCGGTGCAGCGCACTGATAAGGTGTGATGAGCGGTGGGATGCAGTGAGAGGAATATTAGAACTTGAAGGCTGCGGCATAGTGAGGGACGGCAAGGTGCAGTTCCACCCCAAGGACTCCGAGCCGGTGCAGCGCACCGATAAGGTGTGATGAGCGGTGGGATGCGGTTAGTGCGCTATCAGAACCTGAGCTGGAAATATCGATTAGATAACCGAGTTATAAGGTCTGAAGTGGTTCAATAATGGGCTTAGTGGCGGCGCATGTGCTTGAGAGGTACCAGCATCATCCTTCCTCCTGATTGTAGCATCCCACTAGATGATGCTGGTAGCTCTCAAGCACACACACCGCCACCCTCTCTCCAGTGCTCATGATGCAAGCAGCACAGATAAGGCAGAAGCAGGAGAATAGCAGAGAGGGGGGGGCACCGGTCTCACTCTCCCTCTTCCCCCTCCCTTCCCCTCCACATCCCACCACCAGTTGATGCTGATAGCGCTCAAGCACACGCACCGCCATCCCCCACCAGCGCTCATGATGCAAGCAGCGCAGATCAGGCAGAAGCAGGAGATCAGCCGAGGGGGGCGGGAGGGGCGCGGGGGCGGTTCGAGTGAGGGGATGGTGCGGGTGCACAGGGACTCGGCGCTAAAGACAAGAGATGCCGGCCAGTTCAAGGTGAGGAGAGGAGGGTGTGCTTGTTCATTCATCACGCCTCACATGTAACCCACCTGTTACCCACCTGTAACCCACCTGTTATCCACGTGATTCACCTGTTACCCACCTGTAACCCACCTGTTATCCACATGTAGCCCACCTGTTACCCACCTGTAACCCACCTGTAACCCACCTGTAACCCACCTGTAACCCACCTGTTACCCACCTGTAACTCACGTCTGAACATACAGGCGTGACTCGCTTGTGACTCCCACCCCACCAACAACCCTCTTCCCCTTTCTGCAGCCCAACGAGCCGGCAGCGAGGGCGGAGCGAATGGTGATGCTGGGGTGGCGCACGGGCGTGCCGGACATGATCCGCGAGTTTGACGACTACGTGGGGCCGGGCAGCGAGCTGGTCATTCTGGCGGAGGAGAGCTTGGAGGAGCGGGAGAGGCAGCTTGCAAGGATGCTCAGGACGCCTCTTCGAAACCTGACAGTCGTGCACAAGGTGCGTGCTGCTGTACAACGTAGGGCATGTGTCGGCACCGGGCAGCGAGCTGGTCATTCTGGCGGAGGAGAGCCTGGAGGAGAGGGAGAGGCAGCTTGTGAGAATGCTCAGGACGCCCCTTCGAAACCTCACCGTGGTGCACAAGGTGCGTACTGGCAGCATTAGCACAGACAGAGGTGAGCGCTGAGTGAGGCCGGGCAGCGAGTTGGTCATACTGGTGGAGGAGAGGGAGAGGCAGCTTGCCCGCATGCTCAGGACACCTTTGAGGAACCTCACAGTGGTGCATAAGGTGGGCAGCGCCATACCGGCATGAGCACGGGGGTGGGGATATGTGTGAGCAGCGGGCAGCGAGTTGGTCATTCTGGCAGAGGAGAGACTGGAGGAGCGCGAGAGGCAGCTCGCGAGAATGCTGCGCACGCCCCTCAGGGACCTCACCGTGGTGCACAAGATGCGTGCTGGCAGTCAGGTTGCCAGGATGCTCAGGACGCCCCTTCGAAACCTGACAGTCGTGCACAAGGTGCGTGCCAACATAGGCACAGATAGAGGTGAGCACTGAGTGGGGCCGGGCAGCGAGTTGGTCATTCTGGCGGAGGAGAGCCTTGAGGAGCGCAAGAGGCAGCCCGCCCGCATGCTGCGCACGCCCCTCAGGGACCTCACGGTGGTGCACAAGGTGCGTATTGCCATACCAGCATTATCACAGCGGAGAGCATGTGTGAGCAGCGGGCAGCGAGTTGGTCATTCTGGCGGAGGAGAGCTTGGAGGAGAGGGAGAGGCAGCTTGCCCGCATGCTGCGCACGCCCCTTCGAAACCTGACCGTCGTGCACAAGGTGCGTACCAACATCGGCACAGACAGAGGTGCGCACTGAGTGGGGCCGGGTAGCGAGTTGGTCATTCTGGCGGAGGAGAGCCTTGAGGAGAGGGAGAGGCAGCTCGCGAGAATGCTCCAGACGCCCCTCAGGAATCTTACTGTCGTGCACAAGGTGCGTACCGGCGTCAGCACACACACAGGGGTGATGAGCATGTGTAAGCAGCGTGCAGTGGCCATGTGCTGGCTTCTGGTCGGTAACCATCGAATCACATGGCGAGTTTGACGACTATGTGGGGCCGGGCAGCGAGTTGGTCATTCTGGCGGAGCGGGAGCGGCAGCTCGCAAGGATGCTGCACACGCCCCTGAGGAACCTCACAGTGGTGCACAAGGTGTTTACTGCCCTATTGGTAACCGGCATTATCACAGCGGAGAGCATGTGTGAGCAGCGGGCAGCGAGTTGGTCATTCTGGCGGAGGAGAGCTTGGAGGAGAGGGAGAGGCAGCTCGCTCACATGCTCAGGGTGCCCCTCAGGAATGTTACAGTGGTGCACAAGGTGTGTGCTGGCAGCGCTGGGCCAGGTCTGCAAGCACGCGCCTTGGGCATGCACGCATGCGTGCATAGGTCAGCAGAAAATGAGGGATGTGAAGATGCTGCATGGGGGGTTTGAAAGAGAGACATTACTCCACTCCTTTGTGTTGGCGGACGAGATTGCTGAGGCGTTCGCATGCTCAGGACGCCCCTCAGGAACCTCCGGAGAGCCTGGAGAAGCATGCTCGCACACACGCTCAGAGCGCCCCTCTGAATGAGTGCGAGCCTCGCGGTCGTGCACAAGGTGGGTGCAAAGAGGTGATGCATGATGGGTGGTGAATGAGTTGCAGTGTCACCTGTGAGAATTCTCAAAAGTCAACTGATGCGCTGCATGGTGTATGCCAGCCCATGAGCCGTATGGACCTGATCGACCGACCGACCGACAGACAGACAGACAGACAGACAGACAGACAGACAGACAGACAGACAGACAGACAGACAGACAGACAGACAGACAGACAGACAGACAGACGTTATCCTGGATTCAAGCAGCATGCTCCGCCCCTCTGTGTCCGCTGGGGGGTGTTGCGACGTCTCACTCGAATGATGCTCACTCACACCTTCATTCCCCATGCCACTTGTGTTCCCACCCACCAGATGGCCACCAGATGGGCACCAGATGGGCACCAGATGGGCACCAGATGGGCACCCCAATGAGTCGCCCGGACCTCACACATGCCATTCTGGACCCGGCCACTGTCTTCCACCCCTTTGTGTCCGCCGGGGGTGGGGGGGGGGTGGGGGGGGGGGGGGAGGGGGGTGAGCTCTCGCTTTAGTGTGACACTCACTCACGCACTCAATCTCCGTCCTTGTGCCCTGCAGGTGGGCAACCCCATGAGCCGCACGGACCTCACAGACGCCATCCTAGATCCCGGCAGTGTGTTCCACCCCTTTGTGTCCGCCGGGGGAGACATGTTTTTTGACAACGTGCCCTTCTCCATCATCGTTGTTTCGGATCGCTCCTGGCACCACGGAGGTGTGTTCTAGGCTATTAGGCCCTCTACATGCTTGAATGTCTAGGTGCTTTGTGTCCGCCGGGGGAGACATGTTTTTTGACAACGTGCCCTTCTCCATCATTCTCGTCTCTGACCACTCCTGGCACCACGGCGCTGCGTGCGTGGGTGTGTGGGTGTGTGTGGGAGTGTGGGAGTGTGTGTTCGTGATGGTCTGTTGGGCCTTGTGGGCTTGAATTGTAGGCACCATGCATGGATGGGGGGTGGCGTGTTCAACATCTTCCCTTCAACAACCACATGCACCATCCCCTCTTCCCTTCAACAACCACATGCACCATCCCCTCTTCCCTTCAACAACCACATGCACCATCCCCTCTTCCCTTCAACAACCACATGCACCATCCCCTCTTCCCTTCAACAACCACATGCACCATCCCCTCTCCCCTGCCCTCCGCCCCTCTCCCATGCACAAACAGAGCGCACCAAGCCCGACAAGCAGTCGCTGTACTCGCTGCTGCTAGCAGAGTCGATGTACGAACATGGGCATGCATCCCCTATCATCCCAATGCCTCCGACAACCCCCGTATCACCACCCCCTCCCCCCCGTCACATTCACCACCAGAGCGCACCAAGCCGGACAAGCAGTCGCTGTACTCGCTGCTACTGGCAGAGTCGGTGTGCCGTGCCAACAAGATCAAGGTGCTTCTTCCGAGTGGGGGTTGCTGTGTGCTCAGGGGGAAATATTTGCCTGCGAACGAAGTTGGAAAAACGATTGCATGAGAATTGGTGCTGGTGGTTGTGAAGCGGGCTCCTGGCGGTTTGCTAGGGGGGTTTGGTGGCTTTAAAGGGGGCCCAGTGGTTTGCGGGTGGGCCTGGCTGCATGCAAGAAAGGGCTTACTGCATCACATCCGAAACGGCACTCATCGCACCCTTGTCACACACTCAACACACTGCTGCTGTGCACTCTCACACTCGCCCACTGATTATGGAGTCAACTGGAAAGTCCGCTCTTGCACTCACCTGCTGCCCCCGTCACCTGCCTTGCATCCCATGATCCCACACACACATGCTGTCCCACGCAGGTGCAATCTCTAAACGTGGAGCTGGAGAACAGCCAGCTGGGCAGGGAAGCCTGTTGTGAGATGGCCCCGGCGTCCGTTGCCTCTTGCACTCACCCACTGCCCCCGTCCCCCCATCCTGTCCATCACGCAGGTGCAGTCTCTGAACGCGGAGCTAGAAGACAACCGCCTGGGGCGCGAGGTGGGTGGTGTGCGGTGGGGTGCGGTATAGAGGGGTTATGAGGACCATCACGCATGATGCAGTCTCTGAACGCGGAGCTAGAGGACAACCGGCCTGGGCGCGAGGTGGGTGGTGGGGGTTGCAGCAGAGGGGGGTAGAAGGATGAGTACGCCACTGCCGGCTTGGTATGAGGGTGGTGCAGGGGAGGGGGATATGGCGAAGGGGGAGACAACCATGTCGGACCGGACCATCTTTTCAGTATAAGCCCCATGTTGCCATCATGCCAGCACTTTTGAGTCGACTCAACAGTCATCATGCCAGCACGCCATGGTTCCATCCTGACCCACGATAAGCCATCCCTGACATGCCATCACGCCATGGTTCCATCCTGACCCACGATAAGCCATCCCTGACATGCCAGCACGCCATGGTTCCATCCTGACCCACGATAAGCCATCCCTGACATGCCAGCACGCCATGGTTCCATCCTGACCCACGATAAGCCATCCCTGACATGCCAGCACGCCATGGTTCCATCCTGACCCACGATAAGCCATCCCTGACATGCCAGCACGCCATGGTTCCATCCTGACCCACGATAAGCCATCCCTGACATGCCAGCACGCCATGGTTCCATCCTGACCCACGATAAGCCATCCCTGACATGCCAGCACGCCATGGTTCCATCCTGACCCACGATAAGCCATCCCTGACATGCCAGCACGCCATGGTTCCATCCTGACCCACGATAAGCCATCCCTGACATGCCAGCACGCCATGGTTCCATCCTGACCCACGATAAGCCATCCCTGACATGCCAGCACGCCATGGTTCCATCCTGACCCACGATAAGCCATCCCTGACATGCCAGCACGCCATGGTTCCATCCTGACCCACGATAAGCCATCCCTGACATGCCATCACGCCACCATGTCACCATGCCCTAATGCTATCATGCCATCAAACGATCATCATTACCTTATGCCATCAATCATCATGCCATCAGTCATCATTACATCATGCCTCTTCTCCCCGTACTCCTCCCAGGTGGTGGGAAGCCATCCATCACTCACCTACATCGGCACGTCTGACATCACGCCATCATGCCATCATCACGGCAAATGCTCCCAATTCACACGCCCCCATGCGACACCCATGCTCCCTCCGCTTGCCCCTCCCAGGTGGTGGGCAGCCATCCATCACTCACCTACATCGGCACATCTGACCTCATCCCATCATGCCACCATCTTGACCAATGCTCTCATACCACATGCTTCCATCCTCTTCCCATCTCCCTCCCTTCGCTCCCCCCAGGTGGTGGGCAGCCATCCATCACTCACCTACATCGGCACGTCTGACCTCATGGGGCTAGTTACCTCACAAGGTATGGGTTTACAGGGCTATTACCCCATGATGTGTGCATGTGATGCCACTCCACTCACGGCATGTGGGCTGGTCATGTCACTCATTGCATGCACGTCCTTGTTCCTAATGCAATGAATTTCAGCTGTGAGTGGATAATGCCCATATGATTCGCATATGATGCTCCGCTGATGCATGCACTAGTGTACCATATCACATGCTCCCCGAATCCTGCCTTCCCTACCATCCCCTGACCCTGCACCTCTCTCCCCTCCTCTTCTGCTCTCTTCCAAACTCATCTCTCGCTCTCTCCCCCCATCAATACACCCACCTCACCTTCCCCTCCCCCGCAGTGACGGAGCATGCAGAGCTCAATGCCATCTGGACAGAGCTGCTCAACTCATGGGGAGATGAAATCTATGTCAAGGTGGGTGTGACTTTTGAGTCGACTCAAAAGCTGCTCAACTCATGGGGAGATGAAATCTATGTCAAGGTGGGTGTGGAGCAAAAAGTCTGACAAGATGGGTGAGCAACGAAACGAATGTGTACACATGGCAAGGTGTGGGGGGGCTGAAACGTTCTTGACTTGACTGTGTGTGAAACATCCCGCAAGCAGGACCTGGGGCTGTTAGGGCATGGAACACCGGCTCGGCTCTCACGCGCTGGCCATTCCGTGCATCCATGGCCGACTAAGTACCCCTCGTTGTTCACTAGATTTAAATACCTTCATATGTACTCACCCCCACCCACCAGGATGCGTCCCTGTATGTGAGTCCAGGGGAGAGCTCCACGTTCCATGAGCTGGGACGTCCTTGGGACCAAACTAGATGTGCCCACCCCCAACCCAAACCCCCCCCCTCCCACCCACCCCTCGTCCCCTCCACCAGGATGCGTCCCTGTATGTGAGTCCAGGGGAGACCCCAACCTTCAACGAGCTGGCGGAGAGAGCGGTGCAGCGGGGAGAGGTGGCGATCGGGTACCGGTGCGGCGACACCACAGTCATCAACCCGTGCCCCAAGGACGTGCCGCTGTAGTACCCCTCTTCATTAAGTACAAAAATCCATGCATTCAACCCCAACTCCCCTATCCCCACCCCACCCACCAGGATGCGTCCCTGTATGTCAGTCCAGGGGAGACCCCGACCTTCAACGAGCTGGCGGAGAGGGCGGTGCAGCGCGGGGAGGTGGCGATCGGGTACCGGTGCGGCGACACCACAGTCATCAACCCGTGCCCCAAGGACGTTCCGCTTGAGTTTGGCCCAGAAGACAGCCTCGTGCTCATTTCTGAGTACGGCTAATTTATTTGTAGGAGTTTTGGGGTCTTAATGCGGCATGTATTTAGGTTTGCAATGCATCACTTAACCATTTTCTTAACTGAGTTATCTGTTGGCAAAACGTGTAAGTCATTTGATTGTAACATGTTGCGAGGCGTTTGCGCTGGCTTTTCGTTGCCTTCGCTAGTTTCGCAAACCCCTCTACCCCGCGCCCCACTCCTCTTTCCCAACTTCACACTTCGCTCCACACCCTACCCTTCACGACAGTCCATCCATACCCGTTCCTCCTGCTGGCCCGTCCGTCCCGCTGGCCCGTCGATACTCGAACGCCTAATTGGTAGTACCAATCCCCGTTATAAGTTGCTTCTCCCAACCGTCGAAGCAACGTATCTTGTTGACCGAAAAGCACACGGTTACAGTCGACGCTGGGTAGCAGTTGATAGATTGAGCGAGCAGGGGAGCAGACGGGCCGAGCGAGCGCGAAAGCTAGCCGAGGGGGAGATAACGCGCGAGGGCGAGAAATTGCAAGAGCCGACAGTGAAGTACACGGGGGAGCAGAACAAGCAGCGCCGATTTTTGAGTCGACCCAAAGATCGACTTATCACGCCGGCAGTGAAGCGCACGGGGGAGCAGAACAAGCTGCGCCAACATGCCGAAATCGAAACGCAATCGATTGGGTACGCACGATAAGTTGCCGCATTTATCCAGATTTCCTTGTTTTTGTTTAAGGGTGGGTCATCGCTGTTTCCGGCATGCTCGGCTAATCGTGTCCTCCTCTTAGAGCGCTTTGCTTTCAGAATCTCCACGTGCGCAGCGCAACTGCGCGCCGAGTTCCCCCCTCTCTCTCCTCCTCCCGCGCGCCTCCCCCCTTCTGGTCCGGCCGTCGCAGTGACTCTATCGTCCCTCCCTCGCACCGTCCCCCTCTCCCGTCCCATGCCCCGCGCGCAGTGACTCTATCGCGCGTGACTAAGAAGGGGCGCGAGCAGAAGGAGTCGCTAGTGGAGGCGGTGGTGACTCTAACGAGACGACTCAATCTCAAGCTGCTTTGCTACCCTCCCCTCCCTTCACTTACCCTCTCCCGCAGTGACTCTATCGCGCGTGACTAAGAAGGGGCGCGAGCAGAAGGAGTCGCTAGTGGAGGCGGTGGTGACTCTAACGAGACGACTCAATCTCAAGCTGCTTTGCTACCCTCCCCTCCCTTCACTTACCCTCTCCCGCAGTGACTCTATCGCGCGTGACTAAGAAGGGGCGCGAGCAGAAGGAGTCGCTAGTGGAGGCGGTGCGAGCGGCGGTGGAGGAGTATTCAGACGTATACGTGTTTGAATTTGACAACATGCGCAACACCAAGCTCAAGGAGCTCAGGGATGAGCTCAAGGGCGTGTGCAGGTAGGCGGCTAGCCCCAAAACCCCCGAACCCTTAAAACCCCCGAGTCGTTACTTACCCTGTGTGGGCAGTGGATGAGCAGCAGCGGCGGTGGAGGAGTATTCAGACGTGTATGTGCTTGAATTTGACAACATGCGCAACACCAAGCTTAAGGAGCTCAGGGACGAGCTGAAAGGCGTCTGCCGGAAAGAGATGAGCATCCTAAACCCGAAACCTTGAGCGGGCAATGGATGGGCGGCGGTGGATGAGGAGCATTCGGACGTGTATGTCTTTGATTTCGACAACATGCGCAACACCAAGCTCAAGGAGCTCAGGGATGAGCTCAAGGGCGTGTGCAGGTAGGCGGCTAGCCCCAAAACCCCCGAACCCTTAAAACCCCCGAGTCGTTACTTACCCTGTGTGGGCAGTGGATGAGCAGCAGCGGTGGTGGAAGAGTATTCGGACGTGTATGTGTTTGAGTTTAATAACATGCGCAACACCAAGCTCAAGGAGCTCAGAGACGAGCTTAAGGGCGTGTGCAGGTAATCCCTAAAACCCCGAACCCTGCATCTTTAAGCCCTGATTGGGCAGTAGATGAGCAGCGGTGGAGGAGTATTCGGACGTGTACGTCTTTGACTCCGGCCGCCCGCTTGCGCAACGCCAAGCTCAAGGCGCGCAAGGACGAATCTGCCAGTGCCTGTTTATTCATTCCAGGAACTGTCCATCGTGTCGGACCCTTGAGTTATTTCCAAGGACCCATTCAAGGGGTACCATGACAGCGCAGTGCTTCCAAGTTCCAATGGCATGCGGCTGCAGGGTCGGACGCAATTGAATTGGAACCGTTGCGCTGTCACAGTACTTCTTGAACGGGTCCTTCGAGATAACTGAAGGGTTCAAAGCGATTGGGAGATCCTGGAATCACACAATTCTCGCTGAATTATCACCAACTTGTTGTTTCCCTGCTCCTCCCCACCCGCCTCCACCTGCCTTGCCTGCAGGTTCTTCCTGGGCGCCAACAAGGTGTTGCAGGTGGCGCTACTTCGCTCATCCTCGGCCCTCCCTCCCCTCTCGCCCCCTTTTTTCCTTTCCCCCTCCCCCTGCCCCTCCCCGCCCCCACTTCTTCCCCCATTCCCCCTCCGCCTTCCTCTTCAGGTTCTTCCTGGGGGCGAACAAGGTGCTGCAGGTGGCGCTGGGGAGGGACAAGGCCACGGAGCAGAGGGAGGGGCTGCACCGGTGCAGTGAGGTGAGACTGGAGAGGTGAGGGATGCTGTGCGGTGATGAGGGGGGGACAAGGCCACGGAAAGAGGGAGGGGCTGCACCGATATGCAGTGAGGTGAGAAGGGAGGGGTGAAGGATGCTGTGCGGTGATGAGGGGTGGGGGTGACGGAGGGACAAGGTCACGGAGCAGAGGGAGGGGTTGCACCAGTGCAGTGAGGTGAGGGGGAGGGGTGAAGGATGCTGTGCGGTGACGGGGAGTGGAACCGAGAGGTGGGTTGGAGGAAAGTGCGGATGGAGTGTGACGGAGCAGAGAGAGGGTTTGCGCTCGTGCAGCGAGGTGAGGGGGGAGGGAGGGAGGGGTGACGACGGTGCTGTGCGATTTTAAGGAGTGACGATAAGGGGTGGCGGAGCAGAGTATGTGGGCTTCCACCGGTGAAGTGTGGTGAGTGAGGGAACTCGTGAATAGATGCAGTGCGGTGGAGATGGATCGAAGGTTAAGAAGGTGTGTACAAGTGTGGACAACTTGCAGTATATCCCCTTTAATCAGCCCCGTTCATGCCTTCAAGTGTCTGCATCTGCCGTATCTCCTCTTCTCTCAACTGTTTCTACACCCACTTTTTTCGTACCTTTTTACCGTCACCCTCCATCCCTCATCCGCCACCGTCTCTTAACATACCCCCCCCTCTCTCTCATTCCGTCTTTCTCTCCTTTTATTTCTCTCTCTTGATCTTTTTATGCGCGCCACGCCACGTCAGCTGATAGAGGGCCACCGAGGGCTGCTTTTCACATCGCTGCCCAAGGAGCAGGTGGAGAAGTGCGTTGGGGGTTGGGGGGGGGAGGGGAAGGGGGAATGGGGAGGGAGTGGGGGGGAAGGGAAGGGGGATTGGGGAGGGAAGGGGGTTAGAGTAGGGGGGATGAGGAGTTGGGATCGGGTGAGGGTATTCGAGGGCTGCTTTTCACGTTGCTGCCCAAGGAGAAGGTGGAGAAGTGCGTTGGGGGTGGGAGGCCGGGGAGAGGGGAGGGGGGAGGGAAGGGGGAAGGGAAGGGGAAAGGGAAGGGGGAAGGGAAGGGGGAAGGGAAGGGGGAAGGGAAGGGGGAAGGGAAGCGGGAAGGGAAGGGGGAAGGGAAGGGGAAGGGAAGGGGAAAGGGAAGGGGAAAGGGAAGGGGAAAGGGAAGGGGAAAGGGAAGGGGGAAGGGAAGGGGGAAGGGAAGGGGGAAGGGAAGGGGGAAGGGAAGGGGGAAGGGAAGCGGGAAGGGAAGGGGGAAGGGAAGGGGGAAGGGAAGCGGGGAAGGGAAGGGGGAAGGGAAGGGGGAAGGGAAGCAGGGAAGAGGAGTGGGGATAGGGTGAGGGCCACCGAGGGCTGCTCGTCACATCGCTGCCCAAGGAGCAGCAGGGAGTGGAGAAGTGCGTTGAGGGGGGAAGAGGGGTAGGGATGCAGGGAAAGGAAAGGGGATAAGAGAGGGGGGGAAGGGAGAGAGTGAAGGCCGCCGAGGGTCGCTATTCACATCGCTGCCCACTGTGCAGGTGGAGAAGAAGTGCGTTGGGGGGGAAGAGGGGGAGGGGGAAGGGGAAAAAAAGAAGGGTGTAGGCGTGGGTGGGGGGAAGTGAGGCGCCTGAAAAAGTGGGTGGGAAGGAGAGGGGGCTGTAAGCTAGTGAGGGGGTGATGGAGGAAGAGGAGGAAGGAAGAGTTGTTTGTGGCGCTGTTTCCGAACTCTTGCTACACATGCTGATTCATCCCTCCTCTCCACCTCTCATCACCGCCCTCGCACCTCTCTCCACCCTTCACCACCACCGCCATGCGGAATGCCAGGCGATTCAACGAGCTGGCAGGCAGAGCCGGACTTTTCGCGCACGGGCAGCACAGCATCGCCACCAGCACTCTCATCTCCTCCCATCCCTCCCGCCCTGCCTCCCTTTCATCCCTTCATCTCCACCCCTCTGCAACACGCCAGGCGGTTCAACGAGCTGGCAGAACCAGATTTCGCTCGCACGGGCAGCATCGCCACCAGCACCGTGGAGCTCCCAGAGGGGCCACTCACCCAGTTCAGCCATGACATGGAGCCGTTCCTCCGCAAGCAGGGCATGCCCGTGCGCCTCAACAGAGGTATGTGAGGGGTTGCTGTGCAGTGCAATGCGGTGGGGTGTGGTGCAGTGGGGTGTGTGTGTGTGTGGCTCAAAAGGGATCCAGCGCATGTCCCAGAGGGTCCGCTGACCCAGTTCAGCCACGACATGGAACCGTTTCTGCACGGACTGCGTTGTTACCGAGCGCTAGCTAATTATGCTCAGTAAGCAGGGCATGCCCGTGCGCCTCAACAGGAGTGAGTGGGGTGTGGTGCGATGCAGTGCGGTGGGGTGGGGTGCGTGCGCAGCTCAACAGGGTTGCAGTTCCCAACGTCCCCCAGGGCCCACTCACCCAGTTCAGCCACGACATGGAGCCGTTCCTCAGAAAGCAGGCCATGCCCGTGCGGCTTAACCGAGGTATGGTGCACTGTGGTATGGTGCAGTGCGGTACGGTGTCTGCCCCACCAGCACGGTGGAGCTCCCAGAGCGTCCGCTCACCCAGTTCAGCCACGACATGGAGCCGTTCCTCCGCACAAAGGACATGGCTGTGCACCTAAACAGAGGTGAGTGGTGTGTATGTGTTGCAGTCTTTGCACCTCACGCGACTTGGTCCACCTGCGCGCCTTGGTCCGAGCGCGCGCCTTGGTCCGAGCGCGCGCCTTGGTCCGAGCGCGCGCCTTGGTCCAAGCGCGCGCCTTGGTCCGAGCGCCCGCCTTGGTCCGCGCGCGCGCCTTGGTCCGCGCGCGCGCCTTGGTCCGCGCGCGCGCCTTGGTCCGAGCGCGCGCCTTGGTCCGAGCGCGCGCCTTGGTCCGAGCGCGCGCCTTGGTCCGCGCGCGCGCCTTGGTCCGCGCGCGCGCCTTGGTCCGCGCGCGCGCCTTGGTCCGAGCGCGCGCCTTGGTCCGAGCGCGCGCCTTGGTCCGAGCGCGCGCCTTGGTCCGAGCGTGCGCCTTGGTCCGAGCGCGCGCCTTGGTCCGAGCGCGCGCCTTGGTCCGAGCGCGCGCCTTGGTCCGCTCGCGCGCCTTGGTCCGAGCGCGCGCCTTGGTCCGAGCTCGCGCCTTGGTCCGAGCGCGCGCCTTGGTCCGAGCGCGCACCTTGGTCCGCGCGCGCGCCTTGGTCCGAGCGCGCGCCTTGGTCCGAGCGCGCGCCTTGGTCTGCGCGCACGCCTTGGTCCGCGCGCGCGCCCTGGTCCGCGCGCGCACCCTGGCCTCACAGTTGAGTGGGGAGGGGTCCGGGTGCTAATGCGGGTGAATGAAGGTTCATTGGAAGGCGCGGCAAGACAGCAGGCACGACTGCAGAGAGTGAAGCCGCCATGCAAGTGGTGCCTTTTTCCTGCAAGGGCTCTGCCATGAGTGCTTTACTCGTCCGCGCTTTTGTAACTCTTCTTTCTGCTGTCCCCCTCTCTGTGCCTTCCACATTAATGAACTCCCCTTTCTGCTTTCCCCCTGTGTGCTTTCCCCTTTTCTGCCTTCCCCCTATCTGCTTTCCCCGTTTCGCTTTCCCCATTTTTACTTTCTTCCTTTCTGCCTTCCCATTCCTGCTTCCCCCCTCTTGTCTCCGCACTGTGACTATACCAGGAGTGATTAATCTTGTGGCTGACTTGACAGTGTGCACTGAAGGCCATCCTCTGTCCCCCTCCCCTTCCCCTCTATGTCACCCGCACTGTGACTATACCAGGAGTGATTGATCTGGTGGCTGACTTCACAGTGTGCACAGAGGGCCAACCACTCTCCCCAGAAGCCGCAACCATTTTGGTACGCCTTCCAATCCCACACCACCATTTTGGTATGTCTTCCAATCCCACACCACCATTTTGGTATGTCTTCCAATCCCACACCACCATTTTGGTACGCCTTCCAATCCCACACCACCATTTTGGTATGTCTTCCAATCCCACACCACCATTTTGGTATGTCTTCCAATCCCACGCCACCATTTTGGTATGCCTTCCAATCCCACACCACCATTCCCTGCTCATTACTGTCCCAAGGCTCATTTCACCTTCTATTGACCCCGCTTGCTATCCAGTTGGAGTTTAAGTGGAATTTATGTGTTCCATTCCTGTTGTTGCTTCCTTGCAATCTCACACCTCGATGCATGCCAACAATGCCCTACCAGCTAGGTAGTCACCCTCCTTGCAACATGTCTCCTGCTCTCTCCCCTTATCTTTTCCGTACCCTTTCCCCCTCCCCCTCCCCCTCTTCACTTCTCTGCTTGTCCAGCGGCTACTGGGAGAAAAGATGGCAGTGTTTCGGCTGCATCTGCTGGCACGCTGGACGGACGGCTCCTTTGAGCTGCTGCCAGCTGGCGTGGAGGCAGCCAAGGCGGGCAGTGGGAAGGGCAGCAAGGGAGGGTTTGTGGAGGGGTTTGTGGAGGAGTCTGATGAGGAGGGGAGTGAGGAGGACGAAGGGGAGGAGGAGGAAGGGGGTGGTGAGGAAGAGGCTGCTGCTTAGTGGTTAATGTATGTATTATGGTGGCACCAAAAATGCTTGTTATCACAAGGTAGAGCAGGTGTTCTCATGTGAAAATCTTGAAACATGAATATGCTGAGTGTCCTTTTCTTTATAAACAAGCATCCTTTCTGTGCAAATGCATGTACTTGGAACCTAATTCTTCGCGGAATTCTCTGTGGACGTCAATTCTTCCAAGCAGCCCTAAACACAAATCGAGCCGTCAGTTTGAATCGCTTCGTTTTGTTCCCCCAACGCTCGCCTTCGATCATACGCTCGAGTATTTCCCTTTTGACATGACGATGACACACACAGCACAGACTGACAGTTGACTGCAGGCCTGCAGAACCAGCCAGCCACTATCCTACCCCCACTGGGTTACTTCTGGTCCACGCGTGTGCGCCTTCCACGCATCCCTCGATGCTGCAACCTCGCGCCTGCTGCCTTGCATACCCCATGGATCCGCCTTTTGCAACTCTTCTTCAGGCTCCAAGCTGGCTGTGATTTATAGCACGTGGGACTATTTGTACAAGCTACGAATCGGGGATTCGGGGCTACCAGCTTAGCTTCTTGCTTCCAGCCATTTCACTGAAACAAGAGAAGAAACGATGAAGAGCGAACAAATCGCGATTCTCTTACCGCCGAAACCGGAAGCCGGAACTTACTACATGCTCGATTGTCAAGCCCGAGCTCCTCTGACTGCTGCAGCAGACAACCAGCTCGCGGCGTCGCTCCGATTCACTCCGCGATTTCTCGTGGGGCGAGTGCTGGGCGAAGGAGCGTACGGCGTAGTGGAGATTTTCCACGAGAGGCGCTCTTGGAACTCGCCACGAGGCACAATTTGCCGTTTCGCTAATGGCGACGTCCACGCAGGCGAAAGAGGCGACGTTGGCGAAGCTTTCGCTTGCAAGACCGTGGAACGTTCGGGAAACAGCGAGGAGGCGTGGAAGGCGAAAGCGACAGCTTTAAGAAGAGAAGGCAAAGTCATGCGACACCTAGGGAGACACCCGAATATTGTGGAATTGATAGGCGTGTACGACAGCAACGACCGCGTGCGACTGCTGATGGAGCTGTGCGAAAGTGGCGACTTGCTCTCCCTGCTGTTGAGCAAGACAAAGAATCTCAATAAATCCGTGGAACAGCAGCAGAAGCCGAGACGCCGGACATCCGAGTCGTCTTGGCCGTCACTGAAGAAACTATCTTCGTTATGCAGATCACGCTTTAGAAACAGCACTGGTGAACGACCAACTGGTCTTCCTGAACACCTGGCGGCTGGCATCTTTTGGCAGCTAGTGACAGCCGTGCAGCATTGCCACTCGCAGCGGGTTGTCCATCGCGACATCAAGCTGGAAAACGTGCTGCTGACGTCAGCTTCTCCGGCTTCCAAGCCCTCTGAAACAGTCACGTGTCCTTTTACAGTGAAGCTGGCAGATTTCGGCACAGCAACTATCCTCAAACCCGGCATAGATTTTACGATGGGAAATGTCGGGAGCGCTGCATATAAAGCACCTGAAGTCTCTCAAGACAGCTATCACGGCACCCCGGCTGATGTTTACAGCCTCGGGGTTGTCCTGTATGCGCTCCTAACCTCCACATTCCCGAATTCCGGTGCAAGCAAAGGCACGGTGACACACAGGAATCCACAAGACTTCATTGATAATGAGTTGACAGTGCATCTTTCATCAGGTGTCAAGCAGCTGATTGCTGCAATGCTCACCGTGGATCCCGCGAAAAGACCCACATGTTCACAGGTGCTGGAGCATCCATGGGTGCACACGGGCAGATGAGGTTGCTGGTGATGTGTCAAGAATGTGTACAAGGCAAGTCTCTTAGGCATACAGCAGCTGGATTGCTTGGTAAAGGTTCAACAGTGAAAGTCGTACGATAGTTTGACACTCATGCATGCATGTCCAATTCTGTTGGGTCTGCATCATCCTCCTGCAATGTATGGTCTGAAAATCTGCAATTTCTGATCGTTCTGGGACCCAAATTGAAAACAAACTGTAGACTTCAGGAGTGTCAGTAACCAGCCAATGTTTTCATGATGCTCGCTCACCCAATTGTCCCAGTTCTACTGGGTGGAGCAGACACAACTAGGGACAAAACAGAACAAGCTGGTTGTGAGGTACCTAGGTTTCTCCGTTCAAGGTAGTAGGGGCTCACCTTAGTACTCCAAAGGGCATGCCCAGTTCATACTACGGTATATTTCATCAGAGATCCCAACTAGGGCACCTGGCATGCTGACCACACCTAGCTGTCCATGCAGATGCGAATCATTTGCCCTACAAGCAGACATAATCCCAGACAAAGAAAAACCATACAGCACGCCTCCAGCTTGAGTGGTGCGCCCTAACGGTTTTCACACCCCAAGCTGTTCATACATGAATGCCTATTGACAAACAGCAGATACCGCTGGAACTCTTGCAGAAAGCCATGTAGACTGTAAACTACGGTTGTACATTTCTAAGGTATCTTGGGAATGGATGCTCCGTGGTCAATACTCCATTGACGGCAGTTTCCCTCCTTTAGCCAAAATCTTGCGTTCCAGCTGGAAGGACATGAAGAGAGGTGGAGGTTGAGCAGGCACAGTACAAGCACAACGTTCATGGAAGGCTTGAATGATACTAAACAATGGGGGATAATAGTGATGGGATGGATTGAAACTGAGCAGCAGCAAGATAAGCAGGGAAGGGGTGTGACAACGATAACGCACATGACAGTAATTGAGGAACACATGACGTGAGGAGACGAGATCAGGTCCATTTGGAACAACTGGACACCTTATTACACCCCCCATCAATCCAGTGCACAAAAGGGCCACAGTAGCACAGTTCACCTTCCCCCCTCGCCCCCTTACTCTCCCTCCCCTTTTCCTCAATAAGTTACGACTGGATGTATGCATTAGTATTTCGTCCCCCCCAAAAAGGATAGCACATATGGACGGTTCATGATGGGATGACGAGTGCTGGGGACGGTTAAACAAAACACGCAGCTGAGAGGGGGGCACTAAGAAGGGGGGACTTCAAGAGTAACAAGAGGGTGTACGGATGAAAACAAAAGACAGACATGAGATGCGTGCACCTTGGTAACAAGACTGGCATTTGCAGAATACCATACAGACACGAAACAGCAGCATGCAAAGTGAGACTACACTGCAGCCCCTGGAACAGGCACGTTACTGTGTAAACTGGTTCCCTGCACTTCGTGCACCCCTCACACACAACCGCAGTCTGCACGCCTTGACCGAACACAAGACACCCAAGGCAGTTCAGTTCATGACTTCCTTCATGTAAACAAGGAAACAGACGAGGGGCAGGCGCAGCTGGCGCTATGTCTACGACAATGCAGAAAAGAGGGCACTGAAGGGCCATGATCAGTGGATATAAGTGACGGGAACATGAGAAGACTTACCGACATCATGAGCTCCAGCTTATCCTTCACAAGATTGAATTCGTCCTTGATCTTGTCTAGCGAGCTCAAGCACCTGCACCATAAAGTCGACGATGTGACGGAATTATTGTCATTCGTGACGTTTAATCCTTATGCAGCCCCAAACGAAACTACCCTTACATACTTCGCGCGGTTTCCTTCGTCGCAATACCCTCTCATCTTGATGCATAATGCCTTCACTCGTTGTGCCCCAATGCTGCTCACGGACCAGATCTCATTATTACGCCATGAAATCACGGCAGAACTTTCGGGCAAAAACGCGCGTAACAACTTACCTCGAACTACTACCCTTGAACTGGTGAACATGTGCATCCACTTTCTTGAAGTCAATTGGATCTTCGTTGCTGCGGTTACAGGCGGGTTTAAAATGACATAAAATTCTTGCCGATAAGACTAGTTGGCACGTCGACGTTATTCCGGAACGTTATTCTGGTAGGGAAAAAAATAACATGTTTGCGCATGCTGAAAGGAAAAGGACGGCTTTTCACTCACACTTCTTGAGTGAGGTCGTCAAGCAGCTTTACGGAGTCTTCAAAAAACAGGCCGATGACCTCTCCGACGAACTCCGGATTGCTTTCGTCTTGCAATTGCTGAAGTTGGGTAAACTGATCATCGAGTATACCCTGGGATGCATCAAAACATTGTGAGGAAAACACAAAAATGGCACTTGCTATACTACTGAACGTCGAGTCGCTTGCGATGAATGATTATTCCGAACCGAAGGAACTCGAAACGCTGAAAAACTCGTCATTAAGGACACCCTCTTTTGTGCGCTCGCCTGGGAGCAAACCCTCGTCAATATTCATGGTCAGTGACACAAAGCCGTAAACAAATATGCTGTCTATCTTACCTCAGCAAACATGCTGTCTGTAAGCTCTGTCAACTGCTTCGTTAATTTGGCGATTTCATCTTCCTTCGATGCCTTTTTGCTTCTGCGATACATGGTCGAAACCCTACAGCACTAACTACAACAAGCTCCCACCGATCAACTCCTCCCTAACTCGCGATGCAAAATGCAGCCTTCTATTCAACGTGATCCACGGCCTAATGCGAAGTCCTCCTTTTCGAAGTTACGAATGTGCATGTGCTGATGTCGAGCTGCAATGATAAGTGTCAAAGTTCAGAGTACATCCGCCATTGATGAGAGGTAGGTGACTAGAAAGCCACCAGCAGTTTTCGCGGAGTGGGGGGAGAAGCGGAGTGAAGGATGATGCGCAGGACCAACATGAGCACCTCAGGGATGCCACGCTGGACTTTGCGAAATTATGTTACCACAAGACGAACTAGCCTCTCAAATTTGCTCCGAGTTTTCTTCGCGCACGCAAGGTTTGCAGTAGTTCAGCATCAACCCAAGTTGGACTGCTCTGATGCACCTCAGCCGCACATACATCGATTCATAAGTTCCGCTTTGTAACAGTATGCTTGTATAGTAACATTGTTTGCTAGTAGGGACAAACGAATCCTTGAACCTTTTTCTGGCCTGCCATATAGAATTTTCATATCATCTATATGCAACCACACCTAGCTTAACTGTTGGGAACGACTGACACTAGAAAACGCATCAAACACAGCCGGTGATCAATGCAGTCCTCTGTGCGGAACCAACCATACTAACCAGATGCTCCACCACTCCTATCAGCTCCTCCAGCTCCTGGCTTTCTTCTTCGTCTTTCCTTGAACTTCGCCCATAACCATGTACCGATCAAATAGGCACCTAAAGCATAAACCTGTGCAGGCCACCCAACGAGAGATGCATGAAATGAAACTACAGTAAGGTATAAAGACTTCAACATGACACAACAGACTTGCCAACATAAATTGTTCACCAGAGACCATCACCTGCCAGCTATGCTATGATACCTTACCTGCCACACGCCACCTTACCTGCCACTTGCCGCCTTACCTGCCACTTGTCACCTTACCTGCCACTTGTCACATTACCTGCCACTTGTCACCTTACCTGCCACATGGCAGCACCCTGCTTCTCCTCCTCTGGAACTGCGAATCCAACTGACAAGCTCTCTGGTTTCCGCACAGGCATGTGCACTACAGGGGGTCCATTGACAATCTCGGCTTCTGGTAGGGATGCCGACACTGTGAATGACTCAGACTGCATGGAGGAAAGGGGCCATGGGAAAGAAGACCACATCGATTGATTGTCATTGTGAAGCTCTGCTGGAAAGTGAGAACAGGGCACGAGGAATAGAAATTGAACACAACTTATGGTGCTAAGCCTCATAGTATGACAATGAGAGAATTGGGAAGAAGAAACGGTGCAAACCCACCTGTTACTTGCCACACGCATGAGATGCTGCTGCTGCATGCCAGTGAAACACATGAGATACATGAGATGCTGCAATCATGCCAGAGCACAACGCACGGACCTGAACATGAAGAGCTGACTCATGCACCCACCCACTGATGACACCGCCAAACGGTCATTCGAATGTCCACGCACACCCTGTGCCATGTGTTTGATTTATCCTGGAAACAAAATGCCAAGAAAAGCTGTACCTCCGTGTTCCCCTGGCGAGGCAACGATTCATTGCTTCCTCCATTATCTGCAGCAGCCATCGTGGTAGCTTCCCCGCCCTCACAAGCCCAAGCCTGACTGCACGAGTATTGGGAAAAACAAGAGAGCGGACCTCGCTGTAGACCTGCGTGTGAGCGATTATGGAGGCAGTGTTAGGTGGGAGGACGGGTGGGCGGGTGTTGAGTGTGGTTACGAAGGGTGCGGCTGTGTGAAGGAGAGGCATGGTGTGCGTACCTGAATGCACGTTTGTGTTGTGTGCACCGGCAATGAAAAACAATGAAGAGTGCCCATCCTATGACACAGCGTGAAAAGGCTTTAAGAGAAGGGCGTGCATATATGAGGGTCTCTTTGAGATATCCAAATATGTATTTATGCAGTAAATCACACCTGAGAATAAGTTCACTCAGGACGATCCAGTTTCAGAGTACGATCACCATCAACTGTCTAACCCATCGGCACACTGGCTTGAAAAGGAAAACGGGGAATGGAGGGGTTGGGAGGAGAGGAATTAAAGAGGGATGATGAGAGGGCAACGTGGAGAAACACTGGGAGAAGTTAAAAAAACTACACAGCAGGCTCATCCGAGGAAAGAGGAAGGAGGAACGCGGCGATCGATGAAAAGAAGGAACCAGCGATCAGAGGAAAGCGGGACGAAACGTTCACGAGGTGCATGCGACTCGGAAAGCCTGGTCTATCCAAAGCGGCGCTAGAAGCCAGCGATGATGTCACGTGAACATCATGGCTGACGCGGCAACGTCTGCGACGGTTGCGGTACGTGGCACCTAAAAGAACAGAGCGGATTTATGACTAACCTGACTAATACGAAACAGGGCAGTGCGACAGTGCAGACGGAACTGGTCAGTCGCTTCAGCTACGAGAGGTTACACAAGGATACTGTACTCGATAATATTAACTTCGGTAAAAGAGCTTCTACTCAGCAGCTCTCATTAGGAGAAAGGATTGCCAACAGACATCCAAGAAAAATCAACAAAAGCCTCATATTATTTCTATCAATCCCCTTTCTCTTACATGTTGTCCACAATGTCACTCGTGGTCTCCATTGGTACTTAAAAATAACAAGTTAGACAAGCTCTGAACTGGCTAAACTACCCACAGCTGAACAGGCTATAACTCCTAAACTACATGTGGCAACCCTGAAATGCCACTACAACTAACACCCTGATCTGACCATTAATGAAACAATTACAGACAAAAAAAATACTCACATCCTTATCAGTCCTAGCGCCGTCACCCTGAGCTCCTAACACTGAGCAGTCGCACTGTGCACCGCTGCAACTGTCTTGTGCTCATAACCACACCCATCCTGGTAACCGTCTTGTTGCTGACAGAAACGATGCGGCAGGCATGCTTTCAAATACATCTCCAGCTGTTGCGTGTACAGCTCAGGGAAAGTTCGAAAATGGTCCACGTGCGGCGAACACTCGAATCTCATCGACATCACCCTGTGGCCCTGGGCCCGCTGCCCAAGAATGAATTTTTCAACAGCGGGCAGGGGAATGACAATGTCTGCTTCACTGTAGAAGTACAGCTGCGGGCAGTTGGGCTGGTGGTGGTGTAGAGTGTTAGTCACCTCACCAAGCTTCCTGGAAGATTCATCAGAAGAGGGAAGAGAGGGGTGAGGGGTTTGACAGGAGAGAGTTACATAAGAATATGAGAAGACTGCAAGCGAGAAAAGAGGGGTTAAGAATCAGGAGACATCAGGAGTTGATGAGGTCAGCATGCCATGGCTAGTATTCAACCATTTATGAGCTGGCTGGCAGTGGCAAGTACACTGACGGACTGACTGACTGACCGACTGACCGACCTACCGACCGACCGAGCGACCGAGCGACTGGCTGAACCCACCCTTTGACGTAGGGGATGCGCAGAGCCACTTGGAAGATGAGCCAGAGCGCCGTCACCAGCACACTCTCTAGCGCATCCAGCCGCACCTTCACCACCCTCACCACCGCCACTGCCACGCGCCCACACGCCCCCACCGCCCGCCCACACGCCTGCACCATGCTGCTCGCGGCCCCACTCGCCCTGCCTCTCCCCCCTCCTTGTTGCCACCACCGCTGCTGCCGTGGCTGCTGCTGTTGCTGCAAGTGAAGGCCGCTCCCCTGCTCCTGCTCTTTTCTCAGCTCTTTTCCCAGTACCAGCTTTCTCTCCTGCTTCTCTGCTTGCATTCTGTACACAGCTATCAGCTGTTGCTGTAGCAACCACTGCTGCTGATCCTGCTGAGACACCCCTCTTGAAGCACACCCGTTACTACAACCATTACCAGGACCAGCACCACAATCAATCACTTCTCGCATGCCTCTATCCCCCGGGCCGCCTGCCACTGCCGCCGCAGCAGCCGCAGCAGCACCTGCAGACGCCTTACTCCCCCTTGCCTTGCTCCCACACGTCTTCAATCTCTCAGCCTCGTCAGCCCGCCACCAAACCAGCTCACACCCGCAGGGAGCAGGCGAAGGAAACAACCCCTCCCCACCATCCAGACCCCCTTTCTCTTCCCCCTGCCCTTGCCCTTCCCCCTGCCCTTGCCCTTCCCCCTGCCCTTGCCCTTCCCCTTGCCACGAGCCCCGCCCCTGCCCCGGGTACAGGCTCTCACAGCTGCTGCTGCAGTCACTCCGGGTTACAGTCACACTGGAGAATGCTGGTGCAGTGAGAGCACCCGCAGCAGATACCACCGAGGCAGCATCCACAGCAGCAACACCAGCAGCAGTAGGAATACCACCACCGCCACCGCCACCACCAGCAGCAGCAGCAGCAGCAGCAGAAGCAGAAGAGCAGGAAGCAGCGGGGAGGGTGCTGGCTTGGAGCAGGGCGGATTTGAGCTGGGAGCAGCCGACGACCGAGTCAATGACAAGGGAGCCCATGCGCGTTGCTGCACTGCGCTTCTGTAGAATGGCCGCTGAGAATCCGCTCGCCCACACCTGTGTATAAGGGGCAGAGGTGGTGGGGGAAGGGAGGGAGAGGGAGGTGGGGAAGGCTAAGGAGCTTAAGGAGTCAATGACAAGCGAGCCCATACGCGTGGCTGCACTGCGCTTCTGCAGAATGGCCGCTGAAAAACCGCTCGCCCACACCTTGGGGTTGGGGGCACAGACGGTGGGGAAGGGAGGGGAGCAGGGGAGTCAGGGCGGGTTTGAGCTGGGAGCAGCCGACGACCGAGTCAATGACAAGGGAGCCCATGCGCGTTGCAGCACTGCGCTTCTGCAGAATGGCCGCTGAGAATCCGCTCGCCCACACCTTGGGGTTGGCGGGGAGATATGGCAGTGAAAGGAGGGGAATAAGGAGTCAGAAGGAGTTAATGACAAGGGAGTCCATGCGCGTTGCGCACTGCAGTTCTGCAAAATGACTGCTGAAAAACCGTGCCCCCACACCTTGGGGTTTGCAGGAGTGCACCGGAACAGGGAGGGGAACGGCACAGGAGGGGAGGGGGAGGGGGGAAGAGGGGAGGGCGAGAGGGAAAGACGTGATGGGGGATGGAAGAGTGGAGAAAAGGGTACCACGGGCGAGGCAAACGATCGAAGGGCGAAAAGGGAACTACTGGTATCCAGCCTGCCAGATGGGAGCAGGTGCGGGTGGGAGTGTGCGGGTGCAGGTGCGGGTGCAGGCGTGAGTTCCGAAGGCATCAAGACCTGGCCGGGGTCAACTCTTACCTCGAATTGTTCCGCAGAGGTGGGGAGGGGGGCGGGGGCGGGGATGGGGGAGGGAGAGTGGGAGGGGGAGACAGTGAACAATGGTCCGTGTGAGCGAGCGCTAGCTAGCTACCACCTTGAAAACTTTTGAGACGTCCCTTGAGACGACTTCTGAGACGGGGAGAGAGTGAACAAAATGAGTCTGTTTTCTAAGAGCGCTAACTACTACCCTGAAAACCCTCACATCGTTCGTCACAAAATGAGTCTGTTTTCTCTAGGTGCGGAGCCCACGACCGATCTTAAAATCGATCTTCATCCTCGCTATAAGGACTTCCACAGTCTGGTAAATGTTTCCCCGGATCTCACCTTGGGATCTTCTTCCAGTATAGGCGCGGAGTCCACGACACACCCCTTTATAATCCCATCCACTGCCTCTTTCCCGTACTTCCGCTGCAATCGCAGCAGCGCCGCGCCGTATGCGATCCATCCCGTGTTGCTAAACGTGTGGAACAGCAGCGTGCGGCGCCCGCCGCCGCCCAGCCCGCCGTGAATCGCGCCGTGCGTCCCTCCGCGATTCGCGCCCTCGAGGAGCCATCTCTCAAGCTCCGTGACCAGATCGTCGACATGCAGCTCCGCCTTTTCGCCAAGCTGCGAGTAACATGCGAAAAAAGTAAGCGATATAAGGTAATAGCGAAAGCACAGTAGGGAACGGCATCTTGATCAGATAGTAATTTACTCTCACTCACGGTACCACCACTCTCGTTACAAAAACGGTCTGGCTAAAGTCACTCTCGCGACAGTCACTCACCCTGACGCTGAATATGTCGGTGAACGGAATGACGAACCCGATCGCATCGATACCCCTCGCGTTGTACCACGTGGCATACTGCCGCATGTGCCGCTGCTGCGCGCCGAGCCACCCCAGCAGCACCACAGCCGTCCGCCCGTCCCCTTCCGCGCCCGCGCAAGCCGCCGCTTCCCCCCAATTCCCCACAGATCGCGCTCGCATTATCGCCCTATTCCCCGCGGGCCACGATGCGGAGGCGTCCCCGCTAAGGGAAAACGGCGTCACTGACGGAACCGACGGAAAAGTATCGATCTTGACGAAATCAGTCCGCTCACCCCGACCCTGGACGGAAAAGTTAACGGAGCCATCGATCTTCAGCGGAAGTTCCGCTGCTGTGGCGACCGTGCCGGACGGATCGCTGACAGAGGATTCTGTTTGACCGTTTGTGGGCCAATTCGCGGCATTGCTGCTGCAGGGATAATGGACGATCACGCGCGGCTTCTCCTTTTGAGTCTGATTGTCACTCTCACTCTTACTGTCTAAAAGGCTAGCCTTTTCCTGGTTAGATAGAGAGGAGGAAGAGGAGGATGCTGATGAGGGAGTGCTGAAGAGCGGCAAACACGGCGGTGATGCTCGCGCTTTCGCCATTGGATCAGCTTCCTGTTGCTCCTGCTTCTGCTTAAGTTGCTGCAGCTCCTGTTGCTGTTGCTGATTCTGCTTCGCGGACGCAAGACGCTTCTCTGAATCGCCACAATCAGCGCCGATCGCGTCGGTTGCGACGGTTGCGACGGCCGCTGTCGCCGCTGCGACGAGCGTCGGCGCGGAGTACGATAAATACAGCAGCACAGGCGTCACAAACCTGAACGAGATCTCAGGAATAGACCCTGATGTCGACGAGCCCGCACTCAGAACAATCGAGAGAACAAGCGAAATCACGACTTGCGCGATCGACGGCGCGCCAAGCGGACCGGCAACCTCGGTGGCGAGATAAGTGGGTGCTAGCATGCCATTCCACACGACATGCAGCCAGCCGTCACCGAGCGAGCTGGTCAGCGGATGGAGAAGGCCAACGAGGAGGAGGAAAGTGGCGAGGTAGAGCGAGAGCTTGCGACGGATGACGGGGAGGGTGGAAACAACTGTGGCAATGGCGGTTAGAGCCGTTGTCAGCATGGCTACTGGTGAGGGGAGGAGAGGTATGTTTCTGTAGCCTCGGTGTTTCCGGAGCTGGCACGCGGCGTTCCCGAGACTTCGGAAATTCCTCGATCGCGACGCTGCCGAAGCTGCTGACACGCCAAGCCCAGCCTCCGCCGCCTAGGGCCTGCTCTGGCTCATCCTCGCCTAGCCTTTGGTGTGTAAAGTGCTTCAACCGATCCCGTTTCTCCACGCCCTTTGCCGCTCAAACAGCAGCCACGAGATCGAACAAAACTGAGAAGAGTTCCTACGACTACAAGTTTCGCATGGCGACGCTTCCCCTTGGGTGTTGATCAATAAGAAATGGAATGAAAGGGCTTGGCGATCAGCGGACCCAGGGTGAACTCTCCTTCTGCGATTCGGTTTCGCGTGAGCGATAAGTAGACAGTCGCTGTTTCCATCGTCTGTTAGAAGCCCAATCCGCTTCGTAGGCAAGCTTTGCGCGACCCCTACTCAGGCGCCAGGAGGATACAAGAATCGCACAAAGTGTCGGCCAAGATGGGTATGCGGTTGCTCACACCCTTGAGACCGCCATTTGCTCACTCAAGCCCTGAGGTACAGCCCTGGCGACTGGCTGAATCGGATAGGAGAACAGTTTTTGCCTTAGCGAAGTCCTGATGAAGGTGTTACTACGACCTCAAGCACAGTCTCACGAAGGTTTCCGTGATCTCAAGGCTGTTTGTGATTGGCAAGAGCCCTCCTGCGATAGATTTGTTTAGTGATGGTGTGGCGGCTCCCCCAGTACGAATCGCGACCGCAAACGAAGCACACTTGGGACGCCACTCTAACGCGGTCGTAATTGGTCGCAGAAGGTCGACAGGACGTCGTGAGGGCTGGCTCGGTGCAGGGTGAACCAAGCGTGCGACCTTACCGAGGGCGGTCAGGAAGACATCAACGTGAAGTGCTCTTACAACGAGGTTGAGCCAAACAATCACCTTCGGGGCGGAAATTTACAGAAGCAGAAATGCAGTCGGCTGGAAGTAATAACTCATGTGATACACCTCGATACGTTAGAATCGTATTGATGTATATCATAAGCAAGTACTTGAAATTCATTACAAACCAGCATTTGTATTGAAAAAAATCCAGTAACATGGATTGACGCAATTAAGACCACTATTTGAGGCAGACATGAAATCATAAAAAGTGACTGGCGCCACTTTCACACTGCTTTTTGAAAAGAGGAGGAGAAATTAGAACTGATATCTCTACAAGGTTTTCCTTCCCATTTTCGCCCGCCAGCATACATTACAGAGAACAGATACAGCTGGAAACCATGTTCTAAAGCGGTCTGCTCTATACAGCGGAAGGTTGCCCTACACAATTTTCTTGCCGCATGTACGTCATCACCACACCACACCCTACCCTAGCCACCTCCATACCTAACTCCGTCATCCCAACCAAACGGAGATGACGGGAGACGGGGGGGAGGCGTGATAGTCATTAGTATCACGCCTTTCCCCCGTCCTCGTCCCTCCCATCATCACTTTCCAGGTTGCATCCCCCATTTTCTGTTTGCACTCACTCACAGCTGGAGGAAACTGAAACTGCTTTGTTCGTGCTGATTGGGAGCTTGTACGAGCATGGTAGAAGTATACCCTTATGCGACAAATTGATAAGGTCAAATTCCATCCCTTCGCTATAGTGTTGTCGAATCATTGGACATTTCGAATCGCGGCTCTTTTCATCCTGACTCCTTGTCCGATTCGCGGAGCGTCATTGCTCTCAGCTTTCACGATTACGGCATCTAGGCAATCATTGCGTTCGACCAGCATTCATACTGTAACAATGTACCAGCAGTTGTTACACAATCTCGCGTCGGCTCTCGGCATGGAGCCACCGCAGGCAACCACCATCAACCCGACAGGTCCGGCTCACCTACTAAATTGGGACTTCGAAGTCATTTTTGGCTCCAAAAGTTTCCGCGGGCGATCTGAAGCTTGCCAGGTCATCTCCAGGGACAGAATGCCTGGGGGTGAGCACCTGCCACTCGGCTTTAAGAAGAAGGATGCGCAACTACTGGCCTACCGAGCAGCGTTTCGGAATGCGTTACTGGGAAAAGTTTCCTGTCCTGACGCACACCCGCCTGCAGACGCCGACCGCGTAGCAGAGCTGGCGAAGGAAATCGCGAAAGCGGAGGCGAAAGGCCTGTTACAAGTCGACTGCAGCCGCATGTTGCAAGGCATGCCCGCCTACACGACAGCCGGCTATGGACCATCACATTGCCCCTCGTTCACGACCACCGTTGAGTTACCCAACGATTGGGGTAGCTACTCTGGCATTTCCTGCCCGACGAAAGGCCTCGCTGAAAAAGACGCAGCTTTCGTGGCCTGGTGGGGATTTTTCATTGTCGGGCCGTTCGTGCAAGGCGGAGAGGACGGCACTCTTATTGTTGTGGATCTTACAGAAAATGGGGAGGAGGAAGACGCTGCAGCAGCACACGCTCTAGGCGCATTGTCAGGACCTTCAGGCGGGGTTCATGTGCAGGTAGTGAAGCAGGAAGGATGAGGAGAGTCTTAGGATCAGCAGGAAGCGGATAAGGTATGTTGTAGACCGAGGCGCTGCTGCGGCTGAAGCTGCTGCTGGTGCTGCAGTTGAAGGTGCTGTGGCTGCGGCTCTTCAGGTTCGGGGGGGAAGGGGACGGAGCACTATGCAGCCTAGCCGCAGAAGGAAAACCCAGGTTATCAACGAGATGTCAGCAGGGAGTTGAATGAAAGACTGCAGCATTTGGGGGCATTGTGCTGTGCCACTGTACAGGAACAGCACTGTAGAGATTTGTAAGGTCTTTGGTCAACCAACTGTGATGAATCAGAATCTCTTTTTTCTGTACTGTTGAAGCACGGGATGTGACATCGTCCTTGGTGAGTTTGATTTGCATACAATTCATCTACGCTGCATGATGGTTAAATTGTAGAAAAGAGGGGCATGGGTGGATGGGTGGCTGTGGTAGCCTCCATCCACTGCCTTCCTCACCTGCCTCCACTTTATGCACTCCTTGTGGCTAGAGTTTAGTTACAGCAGAATGAGAGTACTACTGTTCTTCCTACCAATGTCTGCTCACGCAGGCTCCCGTACACAAGAGGATGGCAGCTGAGTTTGCCAAATAACAATCTGTTATCATGGTTATTTCTGTTGCATGCAGCATTTTCGTATCTGCAACATTTGAATAGCAACGTGTAGCATTTTCCGCATTTAAAGACATGAGCCAGGTCAGAACGCCCACACCAGCCGCTCCAAGACTTGTGCGGCCGTGGTAGTCCGCGTTCTGTACATGTCAGCAATTGGTGGTCCCCAGCACCTGGCCCACAGCTTCGGATGAGTGTCGGCTCGTGCTTACGTGTCCACGGCCCAGCAGTTGTGATTTGCCACCATTTCCAACAGCCGTTCGACCACCAGCGCCTTCCATGAAATGGGCCCATCAGAGACCGCGACGAAGCATGAGGGCGTAGAATCAAGGGTTTCCCGCCAACCAATCTCGATGTAGCAATTCTCGCTGAGGGGGGACAGTCATGGCGAGGTTTGCCTTGTGATTAGAATTGTGCCCATAACCCTGCACTGCAGTAAAAGCATCAATCAAGGCTGGTCAGCTTGCTCCTTGATCAGCTCGAGTCCCGTCAACTACGCCAGAGAGGTCGCGGAGGAGGGTTGGTGAGACCCCTGCTCTTGGAAGTACCGCTTTGATTCTATCGTGAGTCGAGAGGCGAGACGGACGTCTTCGTGTTTGCTACGCGACCAACTCTTACCGTGACCCGATCGGCTATGGCTAGCCAGCTAGTCGTTCGGGTTTCCACAACTGCCGCGCCGACGCTAGCGGCAGCAGCGGCTGCAGCAGTCGCCACGGCAGCAGTCAGTTCCGAACTCCCCGATCGTCGCACCGCTCCGACCCCCGCCGTGCTCGTCCATTCCGCCATGGCCGCGTCTCCCTCTACCTCTGGTCACCACCGCTTCACGCACGCCGTAGCAGATCCTTCCGCATCGCGGTTCAAGACGTCCGGGGTAGGGATAGCTTCGTCCGTGATGCTCCAATCCGCCGCCTCCGCCGCCGCCTCCTCCACCGCCTCCGCGTTTTGCCCGGCAACTAGTCTCACCGCCGCCTCTCCTATGTCGTTTCGTGCCGCGTCCGCCTCCTATCATCTACCACCAGTATCCTACAGAGGTTTAGGCAGCACGTTTACAGGATCGGCCACTCCGTACGCGTTAGAGTCCAATCGTTTTTTCACGCCTTCACGTCAGCAGCTTTCCCGTCTTATCGCATCGTCGACCCACTTCCCGATTCCGCGATTGTCGCGATCGATCGAAGCAAGCTATGGTAGTAACCCGAGCGGTAACCCTTTTGGATTCCCCTTGGGAAACATTTTCTCCCTAACGCCGTCATCTTTACCGATCTCCGGTCCGTTTAACGGCGACGTTCATTCTTCCAAGCCTTTCCACCAGTGGCACCTGCCAGCCGTCAGATCTAACGGCGACGGCGTAGCTAGTGATTTGGACGGGTCTGGTCCGCCGTCAGAAGCCACGAAGCCGGTTGTGGTGCTGCTAGGATGGCTCGGCGCGCAGCAGAAGCATTTGCGGCGGTACGCTGAGTGGTACACGTCACGCGGGTTCGACGTAATCACGTTCGTCATCCCGTTTAAGGACGTCCTTAGTATCCGACCCGGGGAGAAGGCGGAAGTCCACGTGGACAGTTTAGTCGACGAGCTGCACAGGTGGCTCTCGGGAGCTGGTCCAGAGGTGGCCTTATCCGCCACGTCAGCCCCCGTGAGTCAGGGAGAGCCAAAAGAGCCACGCACGCTGATGTTCCACACTTTCAGTAACACGGGTTGGCTGACCTACGGAGCGGTACTTAATCGGCTGCATGATAAGTACGGCAAGCCTGCAATCGACGCGGCGATTAAGGGATGCGTCGTGGATTCCGCGCCGATCCTGGAGCAGGACCCGCAGGTGTGGGCGCGCGGGTTCGCCGCTGCGATCTTGCAGAAGCGCAGCTCCGCCACCCGCGCGGGGCGCGCGGACGTTTCGGCGACTGCGGAAGCTTCCGCTGCTGCTGACTCAGCAGTCACGGCGGCGGAGTCGTCCTCCGCCGGCGGCGCTGCGAAGGGGAGCGCTGAAGGGGTTGAGAAGGAGGCGAATGGGAAGGTATGGGGAGTGACGGATAGAGGCGAGTGGGAGGCACAGCCGAGAGATGAAACTCGCCCCGCCGCGATCGACGGTCTGAAGCACCACCATCGCAGTTCCCTAGGCTTCGCGTCTCTCACTGCTGAGATGGATGTTGTGGAGGAGAGGGAGGAGAGGAGGCGGAGTGCGGGTGGTGTGACGGGAGAGCGAGCGGGGGAGGGAGTGGGGGTTAAGAAGGTGGTGAAAGCAGAAGAAGATGCGGTGGAGAAGACGTTGCTGAACGTTCTGCGAAGGTTCTTCACGTGGTTGCTGCAGCTCCCAGTTGTCAAGACGTGAGTTGATGCTTCGAGAAACTCTGACATGCATAAAGCACGTACATTAATACTCGTATCACTTGCAGGCATTGTGTCATGCTGCATCGCGTCATGTTCAATAAAGTTCTGTCACATCACGCCATATCACATCATGTCATCTTGCCCTTTTGGCCATTGTGCATGCATGATGTCATGCAGCATTGTCTCAGTTTCCTCATCTCATGTTGCAAGTTGCTCATCTTGTAGACGTCTTCCTGTGTTTGTTGACAGTTTAGCTTTATGCAATTGCTGGCATTGATGTGAGCTTGCATAATCACTGCTGCTGAATCACAGCACAGGTGGCTCACATCAATGCCAGCAGTGTTTAAAATCCCGAGGCTCACATCAATGCCAGCAGTGATTAAAATCCCGAGGCTCTCGGGATTTTAACTGTCACTGCTGCTGTGTTTCCCATTATTGCTGTTCCTAGTGACTCCCTCCATTCCCTGATCCCCTTCTCATCCCACTTCTCCACTCATCCATTTCCAAACCGTTCTCTAAATTCCTCCTTCCGCTGCTCCCATTCTACCCTGCTGCATCCTCCCCCCTTTCCCACTTTCTCTCCCTGCATGGATTCTCGATAACAGCAAGCTCGATACAGTCACAAGCACGCTCGCCTCAGAGCAACCCGAGTGCCCGCAGCTGTATCTCTACAGTACAGCAGACACGGTGATTCCCGCAGAGGCTGTTGAGTCGTTCATCCAACGGCAGAGATCGCGCGGGTGCGCGGTCATGTTCAAGAGGTTCGACTCCTCACCGCATGTGGACCACTACCGAACCTTCCCGGAAATTTACTCGGCAGAGCTGGAGGCGTTTCTGGAAAAATGCTTGCAGCAGCCCAAGCAGTAGCACCAGCAGCAGCATAAGAATGCCAGGCACTAGGGGAATGGTAGAGAGGCCGGGCTTGGGAGGTTACAGCCAGCTCTTGTCATGGCTGAATCGGAGTGATGGTTGCCTGGTTACTGCAGCGACAGCAGCAGTTCCTCCTCTCAACTTTATTCTTGGTGTAGTGCCATTGCTGAATCACAGATTCATAGAACCAGTTATCAGCGGCTGCTACTACCTAGCAGAAGGTCCTGTCTTGCACAAGGATATGACTTGAGGGGAATGGCGGCTTGACTTGAAGACTCCAACCTGTTCATTTATTTGTTGCCAGGACAATACCGGTGCGATGGCGTCAGCTGCATTCCTGTTTATTGTTGTTTATGGTGCACAGATTTACCCTGTTGCCCCTTCCTGAATTGATCTCCTGCAGAGCTAACCTAAGCAGCAACCCATGGTGTGTTTTGATGTTTCAGGTTTCAAGTAGGTATGGTAACAACTCATGCTCAGTTGAAACAAATGTAGTTTGAACTGAAGGGCATAAATTAGTTTCAATTCAATGCTACATCTAGTGCCTAAGCTAGCCACATCAGCATCAAAGCGTGCAGTTCAAATTAATTTCTAGGTATGTGGTAAAGGGACCTACAGTTATCTTGTCCCGCGTCCTAGGCCTATCTTAAATGGTGGGTTTTGTCAACTCCTAACGAGCTACATTCCCAATCTATAAATTATTGCTTGCACCTGCCTAAATTGTTGCGTGCGCCACGCGCATTTCTTGAACACACCCACACCATGTCACGTGGGGACATGGAGACCATGAAACGGGTGCCAGCCTAATATGTGCGCCATGCACATCTCAATTCTCGAACACACCCACATCTTGTCACATGGGGACATGGAGACCAATGAAACGGGTGATGCCAAGAATGCTCGTCATTGCGTTGAGAAGTAAGGGAGAAGGGAAGGGGGGAGGGAGAGAAGGTAAGGGGAAAGGGACAGGGACGGAGGGAGGGGAGTGAATATTCACCATATTGGTATCTTCAAGCTGAACACCTGTCGGCATCTTCAAAACAGCGCCTGCCTCTTTATAGCCACACCCTCTTCCAGCGCATCTTCTTATAATTGCAGTATAGCCAAGTCGGGTAGCCAAGTTCCTGGCATCCTCTTGCAGTATGTGGGCGACGTCTCACCGGGTAGCCAACCGACGTTTTTTTTAGTCGACTCAAAACAAGCCTCCTCGGGTAACCAATCCCTCCCGTGCGCCGACGTTAAAAGAGCACCATCCAATCTTGATTCCATGCCCATCCCCTCCCTCCCCCCCCTCCAGGTGCACTCAGCATCTCCAAGTGGGTTCTGTTGAAAGACCGTGTGTGTGTGTCAAAACTGTCGGGCAAGGCAAAAAACGTATAGAGAGAGGCTGCCGAGAGTGATGCACTGTAGAGACTACGAGCCGAGGGAAATGCAGCCGTATAGAGACTGAGCGCGAACGGGAGCTGAGAACTGATCCGATGTCCCCATATAGAGACAGACTGTATAGAGACAGACTGCCAAGGGTGATGCAATGTAGAGACTACGAGCCGAGGGAAATGGAGCCGTATAGAGACTGAGCGCGAACCTGTGTACTGATCCCGCGTCACCAACGTTCCCCAACCCCTTTGCTGCCGTTCTGCTTCTGCTGCTTCTGCTGCTTCTGCTGCTGCTGCTGCTTCTGCTGCTGCTGCTTCTGCCATCACAGCTATCCTGTCTCTCCTGCAGCATCATGACTGCTTTCCACTGTCACAATCACTCCTGTCGCCTATCACCCATCGAACTTTGTTGCCTATCCCAGTGATCCCTATTGCATACTCTAATGGTCATCACCCCAACGCCCCAAGAGCCTTTTGAGACGTCTCAAAAGACGCCCCAAGAGCTGGGACGTTGAATAATCACTGCTGCCAAAGCAACTCCTCTCCTCCTCCTCTTCCCTCCTATCACCTCCTCTCACCAGGATGGAGATCTGTTGCTGCGTGGCTGCAGCTGCAACGAAGCAACCTTCCAGGCAGCTTCCTGAGCAGGAACCTTCCATGCAGATTCTTGGGTGGGAACCTTCCAAGAAGTTTGTGCAACGAGGTAAGAGGAAGGGGGTTGGTAGGCAGTGTGCTGACACACAACACACCACGAGGAGGGACCCTGTCATGGGGTGGGGGTGGAGACATGGACAACAGGAGCGAGAAGGGGAGGCATATGAGCAAAGAGCACACAGGCTGGTAGGCAGTGTGCTGACACACAACACACCATGACGAGGGGCTTTTGAGTCGACTCAAGCAGACACACCATGACGAGGGGCTTTTGAGTCGACTCAAAAGTGTGCTGACACACAACACACGATGACGAGGGGCCCTGTGAATGGGTGAAGACGTGGGGAACAACAGGAAAGGGAGTGCAGGGAAGGAGAGGGATATGATATGAGCATCGAAGGAAGGCAGTAGGCGGTGTGTTGACACACGCAACACACCACGAGGAACGTGGGGCATGGGAAAGAGGAAGCATTAGACCAAGATAAGAGGGAAAGAAGGCTCGTAAACAAGAGAGCTAGCTGGTAGGCATTGGTGCTGACACACAACACCACACAAAGGAGAAAACTTGGGCCACGATAAAGAATAAAAAACAGGGGAGGGAAAGGGGGCATTAACAGCAAGAAAAATGGCTGGAAGGTGCTGCCATTAAATGCACCTCTGGAATTCACCCCCCAGCCCCATCAAACCCCCTCCAACCACCTCCAACCCCTCTCAACCCCTTCCTCTTCTCACCTGAGGGGCGCACTTGCTGCAGTGGTAGTGCCCGCATGCCAGCTGCATGGTGTAGGCCGCCTCTGGGGGAGGGCGCATCCGGACAGGCAGGGGGAGGGAATATTAGAGAAGGGAAACAGGAGTAAGAAAAGAACAGGTGACACAACAAAAGCCGGGACGGCGGGAGAATCAAAAGGTGACGCACCATAGGCTGGGGCCAGGGGAGGCTCTACTTACCAGAGCAGGCGGCTCTACTCACCAGAGCAGGCGGCTCTACTCACCAGAGCAGGCGGCTCTACTCACCAGAGCAGGCGGCTCTACTCACCAGAGCAGGCGGCTCTACTCACCAGAGCAGGCGGCTCTACTCACCAGAGCAGGCGGCTCTACTCACCAGAGCAGGCGGCTCTACTCACCAGAGCAGGCGGCTCTACTCACCAGAGCAGGCGGCTCTACTCACCAGAGCAGGCGGCTCTACTCACCAGAGCAGGCGGCTCTACTCACCAGAGCAGGCGGCTCTACTCACCAGAGCAGGCGGCTCTACTCACCAGAGCAGGCGGCTCTACTCACCAGAGCAGGCGGCTCTACTCACCAGAGCAGGCGGCTCTACTCACCAGAGCAGGCGGCTCTACTCACCAGAGCAGGCGGCTCTACTCACCAGAGCAGGCGGCTCTACTCACCAGAGCAGGCGGCTCTACTCACCAGAGCAGGCGGCTCTACTCACCAGAGCAGGCGGCTCTACTCACCAGAGCAGGCGGCTCTACTCACCAGAGCAGGCGGCTCTACTCACCAGAGCAGGCGGCTCTACTCACCAGAGCAGGCGGCTCTACTCACCAGAGCAGGCGGCTCTACTCACCAGAGCAGGCGGCTCTACTCACCAGAGCAGGCGGCTCTACTCACCAGAGCAGGCGGCTCTACTCACCAGAGCAGGCGGCTCTACTCACCAGAGCAGGCGGCTCTACTCACCAGAGCAGGCGGCTCTACTCACCAGAGCAGGCGGCTCTACTCACCAGAGCAGGCGGCTCTACTCACCAGAGCAGGAGTCGCATGTGTGACCCCACACGCTCGCCACCACCCTCCCATGCTCCTCCCGCGGCTGCTGCTGCTGCTGCTGCTGCTGCTGCTGTGTATCCCCCATACTGAGTTCCCCAATAGAAGCAGTAATCTGCGTCGCTGCGTCCCCCGCTGCTGCCTCTGCCCCCACTGTGTGTCCCCACAGGGATGCAATGCCTGAGACCTGCTGCTGCTGCTGCTGCTGCTGCTGCTGCTGCTGCTGCTGCTGCTGCTGCTGCTGCTGCTGCTGCTGCTGCTGCTGCTGCTGCTGCTGCTGCTGCTGCTGCTGCTGCTGCTGCTGCTGCTGCTGCTGCTGCTGCTGCTGCTGCTGGCTGCTGTATAGAGCCGACAGGGGGGAAGGCACTTGCAGAAAACGGAGCAGCAGGAGCAAGGGAGGAGGCAGCAGCAGTAGAAACCCCACCGAACGATGCACGACGGATGGCAGCAGGCAGAATCTGCTGCTGCTGCAACTGATGCTGCTGCTGCTGATTTTGATGCTGAATATGAAGGTGATCAAGAGGAGGTGGAGGCGGAGGAGGGGAAGGGGGAGGGGCAAGAGAGGTCGAAAGCGACGGGTTGAAGAACCTCGAGAGGGCGGCAGAAGATGCAGAAGAGGACAAAGAACGAATGGGTTCCGGGCGGTCTGCGTCGTCCCACTCTGCGGCGGATCCAGCTGTGAGCACAGCAGCGGGCGGCAAGAGGTCTTGCTTTTTGTCTCTAGTGATGGTGCTGGCGCTGCTGGCGGTGCTGGTCATTAGGGGGGACGTGAAGGGGCTGTCAGGGAGAAGCGAGTGCAGATCGCTGCAGGAACGGGGGGTAGAATGGAAACGGGGAATAGTTTGGGGAGAAGAGGGCGGGGGGGGGGGGGGGGGGGGGCGGGGGGGTGGGGGGAGGGGAGAACAGATGAGCCTTGGGCCATTACGGAGGACGTGAAGGGACTGTTTGGCAGAAGCGAGAACAGCCGCTGGGTGAAAGAAACGGAGAGGAGATGAAGGGAGCAGCGGAGGAGCGTGGGACGGGGGGGGGGGCGAGCTTACAAGACGTCATCGAGCTGCCGGTGTGTGGGTGTTTGAGGAAGACCTTCAGGGGCTGCATCGCCTGTTGGGGACGCGACAACAAGGGGAGACACGGGCCGGGAAAAAAGGGATCGGACAGAGGTAAGTTGCATCACAAGACGTCATCGAGCTGCCGGTGTGTGGGCGTTTGAGGAAGGCCTTGACGGGCTGCATCGCCTGTTTGCAACGACCAGGGGGAAACGCAGCAAGGGGGAGGGGAGAGAAGCGGGAGGCGGGAGTTGGGTCGGACAGGCGTGAGCTGCCTCTTTGAGACGCCATAGCCGGGAAGAGAGGAAAGGCACACGAGAGGGACAAGTGGGAGCACGAGGCGACACCAGAACACTAGGACATAAACTCTTTTGAGTCGACTCAAAAGACACCAGAACACTAGGACATAAACTCTTTTGAGTCGACTCAAAAGACACCAGAACACTAGGACATAAACTCTCACCGTGTGGAAAGTGGGCTGTAGTGGTGGTAGTTGCGGCGCCATAGCCGGGGAGAGAGGAGAGAGACGAGAGGGAGGAGGAGGCGAAGGAGAAAGAGTGATCCATGGGAGTGCGAGCAGAGGCGAATCCGGTCAAACCTGACGAGATGGAGGAGGCGAAGGAGGAGGAGAAGGAGGAAGAGGCGAGGCCGAGAGAGGAGGGCTTGAAAAGGTGCTCGTCCGTACCACCACCACCACCCATCCCGCCCATTCCCCCCATTCCAATACTGCCGCCCATACCACCCATACCTTTTCCCCCCATTCCCCCCATGCCCCCCACGCCCCCCGCGCCCTCCATGCCCCCCACGCCCCCCGCGCTCCCCACGCCCCCCGCGCCCCCCACGCCCCCCACGCCCCCCACGCCCCTTGCGCCCCGCAAGGCATCCACGTCACTGCCGGAAAAGGCCCGCCCCACGTCCCCCAGAGCAATTCCGCCCAGCCCTAGGGATTGCCGAGAGTTCTCCTCCTGCCACTGCTGCAGCCGCTGCCGCACCTGCCACTGCCCCTCGCTTGCCCCCTGCTGCTGCTCCTCTTGCCGCTGCTGCTGTTGCTGTTGCTGCTGCTGCCGCTGCTGCTGTTGCTGTTGCTGCTGCTGCTGCTGCTGCTGCTGCTGAAGTCGCACCTGCCAGTGCTCGTGCCCTCCCAGCTGCTCCTCTTGATGCTGCTGCAGGTGATGGTGGTAATGGTGCTGCCGGTGCTGCCATGCGTGCTGCGGAAGCTGCTGCGAAGCTGCCTCCTGAAACGACAGCGACTGATACAAGCTCTTGCGCCTGGGCGGCGCGTCATACACGGCCGCGGAAGCTGCTGCGGCAGCAGCCGCAACAGCCGCTGAAGACGGCGAATACGCCGAGGAGAACGACAGAGAGGCGGACGCAGACGCAGACGCATAGATAGAGGAGGGGGTACGAGCGTAGGGAGAGGGGGGGCCAAAGGAAGATACACCAGTGGCACCACCCGGAGTGCCAGCAGCAGCAGCGGCGGCGGCGGCCGCGGCAGGCGAAGGGGAAGGGGAGGGAGACGGGGAGCCGTATTGAGATGCTTCGTATGAGGCTGACACGTGGTGGTGAATCGGACGGCTGTGATCGCTCCCCCACCCGCCTTCCAGACGAGATTGCTGCTGCAGCTGACGCTGCTGCTGCTGCTGCTGGTCATGCGGTTGCTGCTGCTGCTGCCCTTGCTGTGTTGATTGCTGCTCCTCCCCTTCGTCTGCTTGATGCTGCTGCGGCGGCGGCGGCGGTTGCGGCTGGTGCTGACGTGGCTGCTGCAACGGCCGCTGCTGCGGCTGCTGAAGAACATTCTTGGCGGGAAAGAGTCGCTTCGACGCCTTGGGAAGGGGCGGCGGGGGAGAATCGTCTGCAACCAGAGAAACAGACAACAAATGTATAACAGAGATAACACAAATGAGTACAGTACTGAACGTGTAACAAATGCAGACGATGAATTGTAACAAATGCGATAACAGTCGCAAACGATGAAGGTAAGCGTACTCCACTTAGAGCATGAGGAAGCAACTGCACAAAGATAGCACATTACCTGAATAAGACTCCATGCCGCCTTTCGCGGGCGACACCTGCGCGCCGCGGTCCGCACCCGTGCGCGTCTTCCGGTCCCCGTGCGCGGTCGTGGCGGCGCTGCCGTGGCGCGATTTCTCGCGGTACGGCTTGACGAGCACGCGCGAGCCGCCGATGTGGTGCGGGTTACCCTCCTCGAGAATTGCTTTCACGCTGTGCGCGAAAGCGAACGTGACGAATCCGAACATGCGCTTCTGCTGATGTGGCACGCGCACCTCGTGGACTGGCCCGAACTTGCTGCGCGCAGGGGGGGAGAAAGGCGGGGGAAGGGAAAGGGGGAGAGGTTGGGTGTAGGAGTAAGCAGAGGGGAAGATAGAAGGGGGGAAATGGCGGCGGGGGGGGAGAGGAATAAAGCCCAGATAGGAGGGGGAAGAGAGATGTGCTCTACGGCTGCCACGTGTACCTGAAATGGGCTGCCACGTCATCCTCCGTGAACGTGCTCTCGGCGGGAAAAGTGAGATAAATCTGCCGCGACCCCGGACTTGGCGGCGCCAAATCCGCTCGCTCCTTGAACGATATAAACTTTTTAGATTCCTCCAGAATCGGCGACCCCTTGAGAACTATCGCGCGCTGCCCGCTCGGCCTATCGACGAACGCGATCGACGATTTCATCTGCGCGAGTAACTTAGTTAGACTTAGTCCGGGCCGCCCCTGCCGCTGGCTCTCAGTTAGGTACCCCTCCGCTTGCAACGGCTTCCCGAACCGCTCCGCGTACAGCTGTGGAAGCGATGCCACGTGGATAGGCCCCTTGTGCTCTCTAAGCAAGTCGTGAAGCTCCGCCTCGAGCCGCTCCAGCGTGAAACCCGCCGCAGATCCCGGGCTGCCGCCCACGAGCCCGCCAGCAACAGTCCCGGCCACACCACCACCGCTACCGCCGCCGCCGGTTGCGGCGGTGCTGCCAGCAAAGGAATCTCCACCATTACCGCCGTTCCCGCTGGCGTTACTGGCATCAACACCAGTTTCGTCGCCGCCGCCGCTCGCGGCCGTGCAGCTCAAAGCAGCAGTCTCTTCCGCGCCTTGCGGCTCGGGGTACGTCGCAGCCGCCATCATGCCGTCCGAACTCGTCGCACTGGGCGACCCCGGCGACGACACGGGCGCCGTCGCCGACTGGCCGTGCGACGCGTGCAGGAAGCGACACGCGCTTCCATGCTTGCAGAATCCGCGTGCGAAATAATGGCATCGCTTGAACATGAAAGACTGCGAACTCTCAGGCGACGAGCCGTAGTCGCTCGCAGCGCCACTTGCGCCGTGAAGTGCGGTCAGGTGGGGAATTGCTGGGGCATCCGTGGGGATTGGTCGCGCTCCCGCCGGAGCAGCAGCAGCATCTCCGGAAGCAACAGCGGCGGCGGCAGAGTCGGTTGGTTCAGCGAGGGGCGTATTGGGGGAGAGCGACGCGAGGGCTGTTTCCGTTGGGGAAGAGAAACGGTCGGAATGAGGAAGCCTGGCGCGGGAAACGGGAAAGAGAGAAGAGCGAGAGAGAAAAAAATCCAACCGAGAAAAATAAGAAAACAAAAACAAAAAGACAACGGGACGAGCATGCCATGGTAAGTTATAGGGGCCACGGGAAGTTCAGGGGGGAGGTTGACAGAGCTGGCAGGTTGAAAGAGAATAAAGTCTGTCAGCATAAAAAGAAAAAAGAAAAGCATAATAAAAAACAAACAAACAAACAAATAAGTCGCTGCGGTTTGAGAACTTGCGTAGTAATCCAAAAACAGAAGATGATAAGTACCTGTCTGTGGAAGCCGGGTGGGCCTGGTGAGCGAAGGACTGAGCGGCGGCGGTTCGTTGTCGCGCAACGCACGCCGCGCTCTCCTGTTGAAGCCGGATTTCCGCCAGAACCCCCTGTAGCGCCCCCCCAATGCACGCCCCCCCAGGCAGAATAACAAAACACTGCTTTAGAACGGTCTCGCGGATTAAAGCGCCTGCCACGATTTACTGGCACCGAGATTTCGGGGCTCCAGTTTCCGTGCCAAAAAGAAGAAAAAAACGAGAAACGCGAGAGAAAACGGAAAAGGTGGACTAAGGGGTCAACTGGTGGTGACATCCTCCTAAGGACGAGCACACACTAAAAATTCGCTTCATAGACCCAACGGACATGACTTTCGAGGCGCGTCAAAAGGGAAAGCCCGCGTACCTGGTGTTGCCATCCCGGTATGGACGAGTACACGCTGAGGTTCCGCTTCGCGATCCCAATGGCCGACATGAGCTGCGCGTCGGAGCCTTTCGCGAGCGCCGCTAAGTCCTGGTCGGCATTCTCGCGCATGAGCATCCACCCGAGTAGCTTCGACGCGTTGCCTCCTTCGAGTGTTTGCAGTCGAGAGTAGAGGATTTTGGACGCCTCTTGAATGTCCATCTAAAGGCCCATGCGTGTTAGCACGCGGGAAACCTGGTGCAATCGGTTCTGGTCAACATGTCGCCATTGCATTTGCAGAGGCTGACAAGAAAAAATCTAGGTATTAACGCACTAAATCTTGTAACGCGAAACGGCTGGCCTCACGAGCTAACGAAACCCTAGCAACAGCAGCAGCAGCGGTGGGAGGTAGGCAGTTCTATTAGACCTCTAATCCTTGGCCGTGGGACGAAGTCGTTCACGCAGTTGGACGCTTTCTGGGGCCTTTTGGGCCTTCCGCTTCGTTTCCTCGCGGCTGCTGCTTCTCTCTCCTGTTCTACGCTCTGGTCGTCTGCTCTGGTCGTCTCGCCTGTTCAGTGTGCATCGCTGGGTTGACTTGTCGCACGCACTCCGCGCACGTTCCGTCCGCAGTGACCTCTGCTCACCAGCGACGTTACCTATCTCTTTCAACAAATGTGGGGCGGATCGGAACAAATTCCGAGCTAACCAATATTCAAATTCGGGTGGAAATGTCACGGGTTGATCAGAAAGCAGGTGTGGGAGTTTGAAAGGTCAGGCGCTCAGAAAAACTCCGCTCCACTCAGAAGCTTCTTTGTTTCGTTTCGGGCAAGTTCATAATTTCTTGCTGCGCTAGGCTGCCCGGTTTGGGGTAAGCCACATGCGGAAAGGATTCAAAGTTCCGTGCAGCCATTGCGACAGGTTCCGCAGATGAGGGTTTCAAGATATTGCGGGCGGAACGTGCTGGCTTGCGCGGACGAATCAGCTTGCGCCAGCGTGCATCAAGCAGGTGCCGCCGCGACAGAACGAGGCGCAGCCGCAGCGCTGCCCGCCCATTCGCAGGGCAGACCGAGAGAACAAATGCCCCTCCGTGCAGCACTCTTGCAGCAGCCGAAGCGAGTCGCACTAGAGGTGACCACGAGAGACATGCCCACAAGACGACGCCGTGGGGCATGGGTCGCACGTATGGTAGTGGCGACGCCGATGTGTCGCATGGTCACTGATGTGCCGGTCACGTCGAGGTGGGGGGTCAACAACCAATGAAGCAACGGGAGGATGCTTCACAAGCGATGGGCAAACCACATCTGTTGCCATCGCATCGCGCCGTACGATGAGCCTGAAAATATCGCACAGCCAAGTTCCACCTAGAAGCACGCACTGCTCTCTTTGGTGACCAATTACGCGAGTGATTGATGTCGCACTGACTGTCAGCATGACGTGCGCTGCAAGTGTTTTGCAGCTGTCTTTATAATAAGCACCTCGATTGAGATTTAGTGGAGGGAATAAACTAATTCCTATTACTCCCAGAGATTGCCATACCGAAACATAAATCAATCAGCACTAGTGGTGGTATACAAATGCAAGGCTGACTCAATGAGCAATTTACAGTTGTCACTGACTGAAATTATGAATACCTTTATTATGTTTCAAGAAAATAGGAGAAATTAACTGATGCTTCTTGAAGAATTCTCTAAAACCATAAGTGCTAACGTCATAGTTGTACTGCATTTGTCAAAATCCACGAAAAGGGGAAAAGGGGAAAATGGAAATAAGGCAAATGATAGTAACCACAGAGATGCAAAGGACGTAATAAAGGCCCGCGACACAGCGGCAAAACCAGTCCTTTCAACAAACGAGACGAATATGGACAGCTATGTTACAAACACTTACCATACAAGAAGCAGGAAAACAACTAGGTCGCTACTAGAAGAAAATCATACATTGGACCAGCATAGGTTACCAGATACAGACCATACTTCATATGACTTACGGGCAGAACCATGACACTGTAGCGAACCACTCCTGCTGCTCCTGTAGCTCCGCCCGCAGGGGGAGTCGGGTCCCGCTGCGGCTGCGCCTCTTTCGAGTTATAGAAGACCTCTATAAAGGGGTAGTCCTTGCGCTGTCGAGCGATGCAGAAGCCAAGGTGCTTGGGGCAATCCACCTGCCGGTAATGTCACGAGACATGACACATACATGCCAGCAGCCATGTCAGAAGCCATGCCATCAGAGAGAGTTGTGATTTGAGTCGACTCAAAACACACAAGGGGTAGTCCTTGCGCTGTCAAGCGATGCAGAAGCCAAGGTGCTTGGGGCAATCCACCTGCCGGTAATGCCACCAGTCATGCCACACACATGCCAGCAGCCATGCCGGCAGCAATGCCACCAGCCATGCCATCAAACATCCCAGCAGCCATGCCAGCAGAGAGTGTAGTGATTTGAGTCGACTCAAAACACACAAGGGGTAGTCCTTGCGCTGCCGGGCAATGCAGAAGCCAAGGTGCCTGGGGCAATCCACCTGCCAGCAGCCATGCCAGCAGCCATGCCAGAAAGCCATGTTCTTGAGCTGCAAAAACCAACACACAGGAGAATGCGAGGCTCCATGTGCCTCATCGTGCGATCGTCGCGCCAAGGAGGTGACTTTTGATCGACTCAAAAGTCACCAACATAGAGGAGAATGCGAGGCTCCATGTGCCTCATCATGCGATCGTCGCGCCAAGGAGGTGACTTTTGATCGACTCAAAAGTCACCAACATAGAGGAGAATGCGAGGCTCCATGTGCCTCATCGTGCGATCGTCGCGCCAAGGAGGTGACTTTTGATCGACTCAAAAGTCACCAACATAGAGGAGAATGCGAGGCTCCATGTGCCTCATCGTGCGATCGTCACGCCAAGGAGCCACGAGAGAGAGTAGATGTTTTAAAAGGACGGGCAGTGACTGCAGGCACGACTGTGCGTGACTGCCATGCCATGATCATCAGCGCACAGAGCAGGTTGCATGGGGAGCAGCATGATGGGGGGAGCAGCACGATGGGGGGAGCAGCATGGGGAGAGCATGGGGGAAGCAGCATGGGAGGAGCAGCAAGGGGGAGCAGCATGGGGGAAGCAGCATGGGGGGAGTGGCATTGGAGGAAGCAGCAGCATGGGGGGAGCAGCATGGGGGATGCAGCTTGGTGGGAGCAGCATGGGGGGAGCAGCATGGGGGGAGCAGCATGGGGGAAGCAGCATGGGGGATGCAGCTTGGTGGGAGCAGTATGGGAGGAGCAGCATGGTTGAGCGGCATGCGGTGCAGCATGGGTGGAGCAGCATAAGCGACATGGGGTGAGCAGCATAATTACTCGGATAAAGTTGACATGCGGGTGGAGGTCAGCCGACGCTTGTCGAAACATCTCGTCAAAGTGACGAGTGTGTGCACAGCTGCCGGGCGGAAAGGAGAGGGCAGAGGAGGAAGATGCAAATATGACTTTTCGAAATTCTTGCATGTGTGCCACAGAGACAAGGGCGGGAAGAGGAGGAAAGCACAGGAACACGAAGAGGGCTTATAAGCGAATGCGAGAAGAGTTCCAGAAATATATCAGACGTGAACACCGAAGCGCTTGCGTTGAGAAGTGAGAATCTCTGAGTCCCCAAAAATGTCAAAAGCGCTTTAAGTTGACTCAATCCGATCCGTTACCTCCGGGACGAACGAGGAAACGCTGCTGAGGATACAGGGGGAAGGGTGGTAGAGCCAGCCAGTGCATGCTCAGCACACGCCTGTCTGAATCAGCACACGCCTGTCAGAATCAGCACACGCCTGTCGGAATCAGCACACGCCTGTCGGAATCAGCACACGCCTGTCGGAATCAGCACACGCCTGTCAGAATCAGCACACGCCTGTCTGAAGGTGAATGCCACGGCGAACGGCTTCCCCTGCTGCAGCAGCGACACAAACTGCCCACCCACACCTGCCTGCCTGATGAAACAGAAGAAATCCCTCTGCAATCAGACTCGCCTGATACGCCAGACTCACGAAAAGGTGCAAGCCACGGCCACTAGCTTCCCTTGCTGCAGCGCCGACACGAACTGGCCACCCACAGCAGTGGCATCACCTACGTTTCTGGTGCGTTTCAGCGGCACCAAGCCAGTGGCACCACACAAAGGTGAAGGTGCGAATAAGGCACGTGAGAAACTCAAGGGCACTCACGAAAAGGTGAAGGCCACGGCCACTGTCGTCCCCTGCTGCAGCAGCGACACCAACTGCCCTGCCCACCCACAACTGTCTGGCCTGCTGCAGTATTGGGACCTCGTGCCAAACTCGTGCCAAACTCGTGCCAAACTCGTGCCAAACTCGTGCCAAACTCGTGCCAAACTCGTGCCAAACTCGTGCCAAACTCGTGCCAAACTCATGCCAAACTCGTGCCAAACTCGTGCCAAACTCGTGCCAAACTCGTGCCAAACTCGCGCCAAACTCCCCTAATACGCCAGACTCACGAAAAGGTGAAGGCCACGGCGACCGGCTTCCCCTGCTGCAGCAGCGACACAAACTGCCTCTCGGATCGGAACTCCACCACCCGAGCCTCCACGCGAGGCTTGGGAAGGCCCGTGTAATACCTGAGAGGGGACAATTGAGGTGGTTCGGCACAGGTACGGATCGCCTTTTTCAGATGGAATTGCACCACGTGAGGCCTGGGCTTGCCAGGGGGCTTCTCAAGCCAAGGAGCGGGGGGGGGAGCGCGTGAGGGGGGAGGAGAGGGTGAATGTAGTTCCAGGAAAGTGTCGCCGCGCAACCTCCCCCTCCCCTTTCCCCCAACCCATCTTCCCCACCATTCCCCTAACCCACTCTCCTCCCCCCCACCACACACCTGCATGTCTCCTCCAGCTTTCCCCACAGCGTTGCGCCTCCGCCTGTGCTCTGCGGATCCCCGCCGTCGTCGCGGGAACCCATCCGCTTCCCACCGCGCGTTAGCGACTACTGGCGTTCAAGGCGTCCCGCGTTTGCGACTGCAGGCGTTCAAGGCGTCGCGCGTTTGCGACTGCTGGCGTTCAAGACGTCGTACGGTGCTTTCGATAGAGTGTACCAATTCTGCCTTATAACCGCCCCCGTCCTCGCTAGTCAAGCTGCTCTAGGCGTTACCGAGTCGCGTCCTGGTTAAACCAAAAACAGATTCCAATCAGCAAAAATTACTAGAGACACCGATAATTCGAAGAGTCTTGGCAAAAAGTCTTGCCTAATTTTCCTCGTCAGCCGAACCTTGGTTTCCCCGAGCACAGCGCATCGAGTCACCGAGTCACCGAAATGGTACGATTTCAGAACTGATATGTGTGCAAAAGAAACCGCAACGCAAGGCGACCAAGGCATGGTTGCGCAGCATCAGGGAAACGTACAAACACGAGGGTTGTGGTGGTACGTCCAGCCCCGACGAGTCCAAAGTCTGTACTTTAAAAGGCGTTGTACGTGGTATTTTGTGTCACAGTGGGCTACCATACGGTGCAGAGCGGTGACTATCCGATTCTCGAGCAGATATTGGTACCTTCGCTGATGGATAATCTTGGCAGACATCAGTACACATCAATAACATCGAAAGCAACTTTTTGCATACATGCTAAGATTACACTACACTCTGATACTACTTGCAAAAGCATCCATCTGTAACGAGTATAAACATTGCTTCCGCCACCCGCTATCAACCTCGAACACCCTCCCCCAAACCCCTAGATGTCTATGTACAATTTCCCCCTTTCACACCCCGTGTTACTTTTCCGCCCAGATCCTAGGTATTTTCCGCAACAACTCCCTCCCCCGTTCCACCACCTCCGCGCTTGTCTGCGCTTTTCCGCGCGCCAGTGCGTTCTCAACCTCCGCACGCGCCCCTACTCTGGCTTTCTCACCTCGTCTTATTTTCCACCCACTCCTCTTTTCCAAGATCTCTTTTCGCGGCTTTAGTCTCCTCCCCTAAGCTCGTTGCACTCCCGTGCCGCCGCTCCCTTCGTTGCTTGCGACGTCGCGACTCTACTTCTCACCATGAGTGAGTTAAATCCCTTTTAGAGGCAGTCAGTATTTGTCTTGTAGCAAATTGGTTGAGAGGTGAATCGTGTTATTAAACCAGAAACCCTGACCTAGTATGTGCCTGATGTCGGAATCGCTGGCTGATTGGGTAGTTCACTCGTTTCTGTGTCGCCGAAGTTGATGCTCGTGTCTACATTCACCTCTTGCCATATATTGACCTCTTTCCACCAAGCTTACCGCAGCATTAAGAATGGATCTCATTCGGTCCGTATCAGAGCTGTTATCCTTCTAGAGCTATCCCTGGCGATCGTGTCCAGTCGTTCAGCGGCGTTCTCTCGTGCGATCTGTCATGTCAATCCACTCCGAATTCTTTCTGTCGTTTCGTGGTCTTCCTGTGTCGACCGTCTTCCTGTAGTCGCCGTCGTCGTCCTCTCCCCGGTGGACCGACTCCCTCGCCTTAGAGAGACAACTTGGGAGTCGGTCCACGGCTTTGTTTTTTCCTAACCCTAAAAGCGCGTTGCCAAGGGAAGACGCCCATTAAACTTAAACACTCGCATCTTTCCCCTACTTCCCTCCACCCCCTGGTGTTTTAGGGCCAACATCTCTCACAACTCCCCTCCATTTCGTTTCCCATACCCACTCAACGCTTTCCTTCGCCCCCCCCTCCCCTTCAACCTCTCCGTCCTTCCCCGTACTCCCTTCAGTGGTAACGTGCACGGATTATTGGCCCGCGCCGGCAAGTTGCGCGGACACACGCCCGACGCGCAGGACAATTGTTCTCTTGTTCCCCCCCCATCCCAAATACCTGTGTTCCCATCTCCCGTTCCCCTGCTTCGGGCTCGTGTTCATTTCTCCCCCTTCTTCCCCCCCCCCGCCACCCCTGATCCCCTTCGCCTTCTCCGCCGCGTTTGCGCGCAGGTAAGGTGCACGGATCGTTGGCGCGGGCCGGTAAGGTGGAGTAGCAGTTCTGATCCTGTTCCCCTCTAATCCCCACTACCTGTGCTCCCATTTCCCTCCCCCCCCCCGCACTTGCGCGCAGGTAAGGTGCACGGATCGTTGGCGCGTGCCGGTAAGGTGCGCGGGCAGACGCCCAAGGTGGAGAAGCAGGACAAGAAGAAGCAGCCCAAGGGCCGCGCGCACAAGCGCATGCAGTACAACCGTCGCTTCGTCACCGCTGGTACGTGTTTTGAGTCGACTCAAGGCAGACGTTGACTACACTGCAGGCTAGCGCCGCCGCTTCGTCACCGCCGGTACGCGCGCACCCTTTATAGTCACTGCAGGCTAGCGCGCACCTGTTGTCGTCCCTACAGGCAAGCGCACAAGCGCATGCAGTACAACCGCTCGTCACCGCCGGTATGCGCACACCCGTTGTAGTCACCTTCGCTTGGGGTGCCACTGCTTAACTTTCGTTTGAGGGAGCGCTGCGGTCAGAGGGGAGCGCTTGCTGCTCCTTCTAGCAGCAGCAACGGCCTGATTAGGTCAGATGTCGGCTTTGCTGAAACGACAGATGCGGCCTTCAATAACGTCAGATCGCGCAGGCGCAAGCTGAGGGAGTCAAATTAGTTATTTTTACCCTCCAACGAGGGTTTGAATTGTGTTTCGTCGTACTTGGCGACAGGGCAGCGATCCATTTAGGAGCGTTTTCGCTCAGGAGTCGCAGCAGCGTCGCGCAGGGTCACAGCAATTTCGCATTTCTGGCGACGTCAAGTAGGGCTAGCCTATTATTGGGAGAGATTGGGGGTGCGGTACTGAAACTCCTCGTTACAATCCTATATTACGAGCGTGTGGTTTGGGCGTGAGGCATGACCTTTGTCAAAAGCGAGCCTGTGTTACGAGCGTAAGGCGTGAGCCTATGTAACCAGGATCGTGGGCGGCGAACTACCTCTACTGCTCGTTCTGCCTTCTCACGCCCGCCAGCTCACCCTCCTCTCCCTCTCCCTATCGCCTCTTTCTGTCTTACACTGGTTGGAATTTGGCAAATCAGCGTGGGTCTACAATCACAAGAAACAACGCTGAGTGCTGCTTGTGTGCCTTGACAATCTCCTACCTCTTTCCGTCTCGTTTCTCCGTCTCCCCCCTGCCATCTTCCCCTCCCTCCGCCGTGCAGTGGTGGGATTCGGCAAGAAGCGCGGCCCTAACTCGTCTGAGAAGTAAATGCTGCGACGCTGTGTGCTTCTGCACCCTAGGTATGACGGTCTGAATTGCATCTTTGCTTATGACAATTTTGTCCTTATGAACCACCCAATACCCCCCTCCCCCACTCCCTCCGCGCTCCACCTTCTCCCTCCCTTTTTTCTGTTCTGTAAATCTGTACTGCTGTCCCCTTGTGATGCAACGGCTCTTGCTCCTCGCTCTCCACCCCTCCTGCTCTTTTCCTGCCATCAATCGCACAGTCACCATTGATTTTCAGGCCCCATTGATTTTCAGGCCCCATCCAACCTTCTCTTCGCTTGGCCTCTCGCTCTTTCTCACTGTTCAACTTGTTCTTTTCACTGCCTGTGCCCTCCTCCCGTTTCCCCAACAGCACCATGACATAGCACATCCAAACTGCAATCCATGCACATACCTGTCATCACCATGATCAACCTCTGGCTCGCTCCACCACCATCAGATCGCTCCTCCACCTTCACACTTCCAAACTTGTCCGCACCTCTCCGGCTGGTTTGCTAGCTTCGAAAGCTGGTCGCATTGTTAAGTAGTGTGTAGAAGGAAGTTGTTCGTCAGTTCGTAGTGATGTGTGGTGGTATGATTTGTGGTGGCCCATTCGGTTATATGCAATGAGCTAGCATGGCAACAACAATGGCAGTGGATGTTACTTAAACACAGAAATGCACCAAGAATCCATATGAAAACATGCTGGTAGCTGTCAGTGGTGTTGTGTGTTTGTCCGTGCTAAAGCGGGTTGGACTTGGGCTGATTGCTCTTAGGCCCAGTCCTTCGCTGTTGTGGATGTGCTTTCGCGACACTCGCATGGCCACGAAACAGTTACGATTGTGGTTACGTGGTCCTGCTATTTTCGTGGTTCTGGTTCTGTACACTTCTGGCGCGCAATGCCAGCCCTGCACTGTCTGACAGTCAGTTTCCCGCCACCGTTGAAATTGCCTCCTGTCGTTCCGTTTAGTTCAGTCTGCAACAATTCAACCTCGCAACATCCGCCAGCCAAGCCAATCAGAAACATGGCTGCTGCAGACACCTTGAAAATTCGTCCCGCATCGCTTTCGTGATTGGCAGAAAGCGCTCCTTCCCATCCCAGGTAAAAAGGTTCCTTCACGAATTCCGTTTCAATGTTCAGAAAGGTGAGTAGCGGTGAAAATATGTTGGGAACCGTTTTACAATGCACAGCATCGTACGCAACCGTCGAGCTCAACAGTATCACTTCCTCCAGTCACCCCTGCGCACTAGTTTGATCAAGAAGACTCGAGAGGTGTGAAGCTTCAACGTTGAGAAATAGTAGTGTTCCTCAGCTGCAGCCGTGGCGCCATGGCTTTAGCGCGCCCACACTAGTGTTCCCCGGCGTTAACGGATTCCTTTTTCTGACAGTATTCTTTCTAGGCCTCCTTAGACTGCGGCTAAGGTTAAGGTTGGTGAAGCAGCAACTGAACATCATATTTCCCGTCAGCTGCTTCTTCGTTGCTTGTTATGGCGACCCTTGACTCAGGCCAAGAGCACCGCCTCACGGTGCTCGATCCCGTTACAGTCACATGTAGCGCTCGATTCGTTACAAGAGAGCGTCGCAAGAGCAGCGCGGTCCTGGACCCTCATCAAGAATTCCCGCCTCGGGAATTCCCCTCTCCGAGCCGCCTCGAGAGTATCGACGGCGCGTCGTTCCCCTTTTGCCGCGTGCGGGAAGACTGTCCGTCCAATAGTTGCTACAGTAGCAGCGCGCTTTACGGCCAAATTCCTGGTATGGTTCCCGGCTTTTTTGGGCCTGGAGCTTCCGGTAAGAGCACCGGTTGCTGTCACCCTGCCCACAGCTCTCATCATAATCACTCCGGTCACAGTCACTCGAATCATGGTCTTTCCAGCAACAGCAATCCTCAGAGCTCCACAGCAGACGGATCGCGGAAACCAAACCCGCTGGCTGACCGAACGAACCTGACAACGCAACCCGCGGGTAAACTAGGGAGCGAACCGCGGTCAGCGAAGATCGCTCAGGCGCACCGTAATCCCCAGAACCAACAGCATCACCAGCATCCACGTCAGCAGCATCAGCGTCCACATCAGCACGAACAAGGAAAGCCGACAGAAATTCCTTCGCCTCTCGCTAATACTTCTCTCGCTACAGGAACAAGCAACGGCACTCAAACGGAGTGGAAAGTCCGGCCCTCAGGTCGCGGGTTCTTTAGCAAGCTGAAGCATTTCTTCCCTGTGCGTGGATTGGTGGGTAAGCGCAGCGAACCCGTAAATTCCGGGATCTCAAACCCAGTTGCGGAGCAGAAAGGATGCGTGGAGAGAGGCAGCACAGCAGCGTCAGCAGCGTCAGCGCTAGGTGCGAATAGCGGGAATGCGGACGCGCTAGGAGCGAATAGCGAGAATGCGGACTTGGGAAGTTGGGGTCCTGCGGAAGGTGCAGATACGGCCAGGAGCCGGCCTCCTGGACGCGGTATCGTGCGCTCCGTTTCGCTTACAGCGACGGGGACGAGTCACAACGAATACGCGGATACGGCAGGGAATCCGGGCGAGGCGGAACTAGCGGACCGGGCGAAGAGACACGAGTATGGTTACTTTCGCAGGCGAATGAGTGATATCAGTGGTATCAGGGGCGCTGGTACTGGCATCACTGGTATCAGCGGCAACAGCAGCCAAAGCATCAGTGCCTTGGGAATGCCGAGGCTGGTGGCAGGCATGGATCTTGCCGTACCTGCCGGGTTGGAGGCATGGGGTGTGGGGAGAGGAGGGGATTTGTGGGACTTGGAGGGAGTGAGAGGCGCAGGATGGGAGGGTGGAGATGGTGGGAGCTTGTGTTATGGCGTTGGTGATGACGTGGATGGTAACGTCAGTGATGACGTTGGTGGCTGTGGCTTTGGTGACTCTAACAAATGGTGGAGCGATGGGGGTAGAATGGAGAGGGCTTTTTTGGAGTCTCTTATAACGGGGGAGAGCTTAACGGGAGCGGCAGATAGGTCCAGATCGTTCGTTTTAAGCATGATATGGCGCTCTCCCTGCCACGTGGCATCCGCCCTCTGCGTAAGTGCTGAGGCTCGCGTGTGTGTGGTGAGAACTCCCTTCAACTCCGCCCCCTCCGCACCTTTCCCCCTTATCTTTCTTGGTTTAGCTCTCTTTTCCCCTCCATACCCGCATCTCTCTTCCTCAATCTTTCTCTCCTTACTCCCTCTGTGTCCCTCCTCCTTCACTCCGTGCTTCTCGTCCTTCCTTCCTCCCTCTTTTGCTCCCTCCTCCCCCCAATCTATATCGCTCTCTCCACCTTTCTGTCTCTCTCCAACTCTCTGTCTCTCTCCAACTCTCTGTCTCTCTCCAACTCTCTGTCTCTCTCCAACTCTCTGTCTCTCTCCAACTCTCTCTCTCTCTCCAACTCTCTCTCTCTCTCCAACTCTCTCTCTCTCTCCAACTCTCTCTCTCTCTCTCCAACTCTCTGTCTCTCTCCAACTCTCTCTCTCTCTCCAACTCTCTCTCTCTCTCCAACTCTCTGTCTCTCTCCAACTCTCTCTCTCTCTCCAACTCTCTGTCTCTCTCCAACTCTCTGTCTCTCTCCAACTCTCTCTCTCTCTCCAACTCTCTCTCTCTCTCTCCAACTCTCTGTCTCTCTCCAACTCTCTGTCTCTCTCCAACTCTCTGTCTCTCTCCAACTCTCTGTCTCTCTCCAACTCTCTGTCTCTCTCCAACTCTCTGTCTCTCTCCAACTCTCTCTCTCTCTCCAACTCTCTGTCTCTCTCCAACTCTCTCTCTCTCTCCAACTCTCTGTCTCTCTCCAACTCTCTGTCTCTCTCCAACTCTCTCTCTCTCTCCAACTCTCTGTCTCTCTCCAACTCTCTGTCTCTCTCCAACTCTCTCTCTCTCTCCAACTCTCTGTCTCTCTCCAACTCTCTGTCTCTCTCCAACTCTCTGTCTCTCTCCAACTCTCTGTCTCTCTCCAACTCTCTCTCTCTCTCTCCAACTCTCTGTCTCTCTCCAACTCTCTGTCTCTCTCCAACTCTCTGTCTCTCTCCAACTCTCTGTCTCTCTCCACCTCTCTGTCTCTCTCCAACTCTCTGTCTCTCTCCAACTCTCTCTCTCTCTCCAACTCTCTCTCTCTCTCTCCAACTCTCTCTCTCTCTCCAACTCTCTGTCTCTCTCCAACTCTCTGTCTCTCTCCTACTCTCTCTCTCTCTCCACCTCTCTGTCTCTCTCCAACTCTCTGTCTCTCTCCAACTCTCTGTCTCTCTCCAACTCTCTGTCTCTCTCCAACTCTCTGTCTCTCTCCACCTCTCTGTCTCTCTCCAACTCTCTCTCTCTCTCCAACTCTCTGTCTCTCTCCAACTCTCTCTCTCCAACTCTCTGTCTCTCTCCAACTCTCTGTCTCTCTCCAACTCTCTTTCTCTCTCCAACTCTCTGTCTCTCTCCAACTCTCTCTCTCTCTCTCCAACTCTCTGTCTCTCTCCAACTCTCTGTCTCTCTCCAACTCTCTGTCTCTCTCCAACTCTCTGTCTCTCTCCAACTCTCTGTCTCTCTCCAGCTCTCTGTCTCTCTCCAACTCTCTGTCTCTCTCCAACTCTCTGTCTCTCTCCAACTCTCTGTCTCTCTCCAACTCTCTGTCTCTCTCCAACTCTCTGTCTCTCTCCAACTCTCTGTCTCTCTCCAACTCTCTGTCTCTCTCCAACTCTCTGTCTCTCTCCAACTCTCTGTCTCTCTCCAACTCTCTGTCTCTCTCCAACTCTCTGTCTCTCTCCAACTCTCTCTCTCTCTCCACCTCTCTGTCTCTCTCCAACTCTCTGTCTCTCTCCAACTCTCTGTCTCTCTCCAACTCTCTGTCTCTCTCCAACTCTCTCTCTCTCCAACTCTCTGTTTCTCTCCAACTCTCTCTCTCTCTCCAACTCTCTGTCTCTCTCCGCGTCCCTCTGCTCCCCCCTCGCCCTCCCATTCCCAATGCCCGAATTTTCTCACCTTGTCTTCTCAACTCCCTCCCATCCGTGTCCCCTGCGCTCTCCCCTCCCAGCGCGCCTATGCGTGTATCGTTGCTGCCAAGGCGGTGGCGAGGGTGTTATCTTACCGCCTCCCATCCCCCTATTCCTCTGCGCTCTCCCCTCCCAGCGCGCCTATGCATGCATCGTGGCGGCCAAGGCAGTGGCGTGGGTGGCATCTCTGCATCTCATGGAAGGCGCCCTGACTCATTACAAGGATCGTGAGGGAGAGAAGCACGCAGTGACTCGTTATAAGGACCGAGAGGAAGAGGGGCACGCAATGACTCGATTTAAGGACCTCGGGGAAGAGCAGCAGAGATTGACTCGTTATAAGGAGCACGAGGGGGTGCAAGGCGCGTGGTTTCGCTACAAGGACGGGGAGGCAGGGGCTGGCGAGTGCTCGCATGCAGAAGCTGCCAATCGTGGCCTGCCACGTGGAGGCTGTGAGAGAACTCGAGAGAGCCGCAGGAAAGGGCTTAAGGGACTTGGCGAATCTGAGGCATGGTTAAGGGACCACTCGGGTAGTAGTCCGTGTGTGTGCTGCTGTGAGAAGAGGGGGAGAGTGATGGGTGGGGTAAGAGGAGAGAGGAGGCATGGGGAGCATGGGATGTATGGGGTGCATGGGGAGCATGGGATGCACGACATGCATGGGGTGCATGGGGAGCATGGGATGCACGACATGCATGGGGAGCATGGGATGCACGACATGCATGGGGTGCATGGGGAGCATGGGATGCACGACATGCATGGGGAGCATGGGATGCACGACATGCATGGGGTGCATGGGGAGCATGGAATGCATGACATGCATGGGGTGCATGGGAGGCGTGGAGTGGGTTTGATGCATGGGGAGCATGGGATGCAGCATGGGGTGCATGGGATGCAGCATGGGGTGCATGGGATGCAGCATGGGGTGCATGGGATGCAGCATGGGGTGCATGGGATGCAGCATGGGGTGCATGGGATGCAGCATGGGGTGCATGGGATGCAGCATGGGGTGCATGGGATGCAGCATGGGGTGCATGGGATGCAGCATGGGGTGCATGGGGAACGTGTGAGGCGAAGGCAGCAGCGTGGCATGCATGGGCCAGCAGCGAACCGCCTTAACATGCAATGGGCGGCAGCAGCAGAGGCAGGAGAAGCAGAGGCAGCTGCAGCATCAGAGACAGCAGAAGCAACAGGAGGGATAGTAAGCGTGGCACGAGCGTCAGCTGAAAAGGACGAGGCAGCAGCCGCTGCAGGAGCAGCAGCAGCAGCGGCGGCGGCGGCAGCAGCAGCGGTGGAGCTGGAGAGGTGTGCAGCGAGGGCTGGGATGGACCGACTGGTGCTGGATTGGGTGTTTGGCCCGGGGGAGAGCACACGCAGGTGGGTGGGTGACAGTGGGGAGAGCACACGCAGGTGGGTGGGTGACGGGGAGGGAAGCACAGGCGGTTGGGACATGCGACCAGGGGAGAGCACACGCAGGTGGGTGGGTGACGGTGGGGACCACACTGGTGGTTGGATGATTGAGACGAGAGAAAGCAGTGGCAAGTGGATGGCTGGGGAGTGCGGAGAGGAGTTTTTGGAGGGTAGCCTGAGTTTTGAGACGTGTCAGAATCGGTTTCAGGAGGGGAGTCAGAGTTTCGAGACGCCTGAGAAAGAGTTTGTGGAGGGAACGCAGAGTTGCCGTAGGGAGGGTGAGAATAGGTCTCTCTATGGTGATTCACATGAAGAGCTTGATGTGATTCAGAGGGTGCGGGGAGATCGGCGCTTGTCTGCCGCCCTCCCCAGCATCCTAGAGGAAGGTTCTGAGATGACTGGGGAGACACAGGGAGAGTTTGGTCCAGCTGGGAACGTTGATGCTCCGTGTATCTATGGATCAGGGCCGTGGGGAGTGTCCGCAAATTGGTTTCAAGGGGGGAGACGTGTGGAAAATTCGGGCTTTGGTATGCCGGATCTCACTGATATTGAGTCGTCCACTAACGAGTCGGCAGCGGGAGAGGGTGGTATGGCGCAAGGGGGTGCAGTGGTAGGTACAAGAGTGGTAGCAGAAGGGGTTTCTGTTTCACTGGTGGGGTTCCTGGGGTCCTTTGAAGCGGAGATGAGTTCTGGCAGGACTGGTGGTGCGGGGGAGGTGACAGGGGAGGGAGAGAGGGAGGGAGGAGAGGAGGGCGGAAGGAAGTGGAGTGAAGGGGGGCTGGGTGGGAGGGAGGATGAGGGAGGAGAAGGGAGGGAAGGAGGTGCAGAGGGGGAGGTGGGAGAAAATGCTGTTGAAGGAGAAGGGAAGGTAGAAGAGGAGAGGAGGTCTGGGAAGGAGGGGAGGGTTGAGGAAAGGAGGGGTGAGGGAGGGAGGGGTGAAGAGGGGAGAGTGGAGAAGGAGAGAGAGGGAGGAGAAGGTGGAGGGTGGGAAAGGGAGGGGTTAGAGTGTGCGGTATTTGAGGATGCTGCTAGCGAAGCAAGGTCTGGTTCCTTGACGGTTTTCGAATCAGCTCTGACGTGGGAAGGAAAGGGGACAGATTGTGACGTTTTCGAGGAGGTTGTTAGCGAAGCAGGGATTAGGGGTAGCAGCGTGAGTCTGACTGAAGAGAAGACCACTGGGTTGACTGGGAATGAAGGGCAGCAGCAGGAGCAGCGGGGACAGGAGCAGCAGGAGCAGCAGCAGGAGAGACTGGAAACGGGACAGCAGCAGCAACAACAGCAGGAGCAGCAGCAGCAGCGCCACCAGCACCATCAGCAGCAGCAGCAGCATCGGTTCTCGCCTATCTCACTCATGCCCCAAGCCTGGAGCCCCAGATTGCACCCTTCGGAGCAGCAGCCGCATCAGTTTCAGTCACAGCAGCACCATCAGCAGCAGCAGCAGCAGTTTCAGCCACAGCAGCACCATCAGCAGCACCATCAGCAGCACCATCAGCAGCAGCAGCAGCAGTTTCAGCCACAGCAGCACCATCAGCAGCACCATCAGCAGCAGCAGCAGCAGCAGTTTCAGCCACAGCAGCAGCAGATTGAGACTTGGGTGTCTGGGCACGAGACACACAGTCTCCCCTGGGCCAGGGCGGCGAGAGCAGGAGCAGGAGCAGGAGCATGGGAGAGCGTGGGAAGCAGGTGGAGTGGGTGGAACGAGGGGGAGAGTGTGAGGGAGAGTATGAGGGAGAGTGTGGGGGAGAGCAGTAGGGAGGGGAGGATGGGTCTGATAAAGGGGGGGAGGTGCAGCAGTGGCGCGGGCAGCAGCAGAGGGTGCAGTAGCAGCGAGAGTGACAGAGGGCGCAGCAGCAGGGAGGGTAGCAGCAACAGCAGCAGCAGCAGCAGCAGCGGCAGCAGGAGTAGCAGTGTGAGAAGCAGGAGAGGGGAGGGCAGTGCGAGGGGTTTTGATGAGGGAGGTGGTGATGGAAGCAGCAGAGAAGGTCCCTTGGACATGGATGCACGTTGTGGGGAGTCCGAGAGTGGAAAATCGTTAAAGCCTTATTCTGCTGAGCGTGAGGACTCAGATCTCACTGTTTTGTCACTAGGGCGTGGAGGAGGACAGGGAGGAGGATGGAGAGAGGGCAAAGGAGCGCTAGGTGGTGATATAAAAGAGGGGTTGGAGAGAGAACCGGGGGGACAGGAGGCAGCGAGGAGGAGGACGGGGATAGTGAAGGAGGGAGATGAGGGGGAGGAAGAGGGAGAGGATGGGATGAAGGGAAGTGAGGAGGGAGAAAGGGGAAGAGATGAGGGGTCGATTGATTGGCTGAGACTGAGTGTGGGCGTGGCGGGATGCTCTAAGGAGTCTCAACACCAACACACGATTGACTTTATGGGATCATCGTGCATCGACATGAACGAGTCCGAGGAGGATGGATGCATGCCACGTGGCGCACTGTTGGCCTCTCCACGTGGCACAGACTCAGCACGTCCACGTGGCACAGCGTCGGCCTCTCCACGTGGCGCAGCACTGGCCTGGCCTCATGCCACGTGTCAGCATGCTCTTGCTGGCAGCCCAGCATCAAGCAGCGACCTCCGGGTAGGTTACCTCCTGCCTTGAGGCAAAAGGCCGTAACACCATGTCATTGCATTGGGACCTTGGTGGTGAGTGTGTGAAGACTCATGTCTGCATGCTCATGCTGGCAGCGCAGCATCAAGCAGTGATCTCCGGGTAGGTTCCCACCCTGCCTTCAGGCTAAAGCCTGCTTTGAGACATTAGTGAGTAGATTGTTTATTTTCCCAGCGTTTTTAGAACACTCACTTGATGCCTGTGTGAGTGGGCCTTGGGTGATTTTTTATGCTGCCACCTGGTCAGCAACACAGATGGAGCCATGGCATGCACTGGCTGCTCGACCCGTGCTGCACTGCTGCCTTGTGTTGTTCCCTTACAACTTCCCCTTCCTTCCCACCCCTTTCAGGAGCTCGTGTCGCGGCAGCAGGGGCAGATCGAGGAGCTTCGGTGGCTGTTAGGGCAGCAAATGGAGGCGTGCCACGCACTGGCTGCTGCTCTTGTCTTACCCGTGCTGACTTGTGTTGTTCCCTTTGAATTCCTGTCCGTTCACTCTCAGGAGCTGGTGGCTCGGCAGCAGGGGCAGATCGAGGAGCTGCGGCGGCTGCTGGGGCAACAGATGGAGTCGTGCCACGCACTGGCTGCTGCTCTGAGGCTGCAGCAGCAGGAGCGTCAGCATTTGGGGAGGCAGGGGGAGCAAGGATTGGGAGGTTTGAAAGAGACTCAGGAGGCAGATCTAGAGGAAACAAAGCTTGGAGAAAGCAGGTCCGAGGAAGCAGATGGGGCAGAAGGGGAAGAAGGGGCAGAGGAGGCGGGTGGTGAAAGAGAGAAGGAAGTACGGGATAGTGGAGGAGGCGAGAGAGAGGGGGCACGGGAATGGAGGGACCTGGATTGGGATGACGAGTTGATGCAGCAGTCGGGGGAGCTGCGAGGAGATATTACAAGTCTGAAGGATCAGGTGGGTTGAGTATTTCATTTGTTTGGAGAAAAAGGAGGCCTTCTGTGTCTGTTCACCTGTTGACTCCCTTCTACTCCCTGTGACTGTTTGAATGGTGCGACGCAGTTGGCCCTTTGACTCCCTGCATGCAGCTTGCTTGCTCAAAGGGCCAACCGCATTGCACCACTCAAACAGTCACTGCTCCACACCATGGCGCAGCTCAACTCTCCCTCTCCCTCCCCCTCCTCTCCGCCCTAACCCCAGCTTTCGTTATGTACCTATACTTCACTCTCCCTGCAGCTTGCTCAAAGGGCCAACCGCATCGCACCACTCAAACAGTCACTGCTCCACACCATGGCGCAGCTCAACTCTCGCTCTCCCTCCCCTTCCTGCTCTCCCTCTCCTGCTCTCCGCCCTAACCCCGGATCTCTTTCTGTGCCTGTCCTTCCCTCTCCCCGTCCCCTCCATGCAGCTTGCTCAAAGGGCAAACCGCATTGCATCACTCAAACAGTCGTGCTCAGCTCAAGTCCCGCTCTCCCTCTCTCCTTGCCTTGTGTGTCTCATTTGCCCCTCCCCGTTCCCTTTACGCAGCTTGCTCAAAGGGCCAACCACATAGCATCACTCAAGCAGTTGCTCCTTCACACCATGGCTCAGCTCAAGTCCCACTCTCCCTCCCGCTCTCCCTCCTGCTCTCCCTCCCGCTCTCCCTCCTGTTCTCCCTCTTGCTCTCCCTCCCGCTCTCCCTCCAGCTCTCCCTCCTAACCCCAGATCTCTTTCTGTGCCTATCCTTCCCCTCTCCTCGTTCCCTCCATGCAGCTTGTTCAAAGGGCCAACCGCATAGCATCACCCAAGCAGTCGCTCCTTCACACCATGGCTCAGCTCAAGTCCCGCTCTCCCTCTCCGTGCCTTGCGTGTCTCATTTTCCCCTCCCCGTTCCCTGCATGCAGCTTGCTCGAAGGGCTGGCCACGTCGCATCACTCCAGCAGTCCCTTTGATGGAGCTCCATATGATGGCTCAGCTCAAGTTCCGCTCTCCCTCTCCCTCTTTTGAGACGTCTCAAACATCAGTCCAGCAGTCCCTTTGATGGAGCTCCAGATGATGGCTCAGCTCAAGTCCCGCTCTCCCTCTCCCTCCTAACCCCTGCTCTCCCTCTGTTCCTATTTTTCCCCTCCCTTTCGTCCCTTTACTTGTTTGTTCCCTCCATGCAGCTTGCTCAAAGGGCCAACCGCATAGCAGCACTCAAGCACTCTCTCCTTCACACCATGGCGCAGCTCAAGTCCCGCTCTCCTTCCCCTGGACCTGCCTTTTCCCTCGCTTCCCTCCACTTCCCCTCCCTCCCCTTGCCCTCCCAACAACCCTCCTCTCGCCCATCCCCATCTCCTCAGCTCCCATCCCTCCACTCGCCCTCTCGTCTCCCCTCTGCTCTTCGCCTGCATTCTCCGTCTCCCAGGCATTCCCCCGTGCTTCCATTCCGCCCGGCCTCTCATTCACGTATCTCTCCCCTTCATACGGTCGGTGCACAGTGCAGTGATTGTTTATAGCTACACTACAGGAACCAACAAGACCCCATGACTATGTGATTCTAAGTTTTATCGAGATTCAACTTGGTTGCTATTGTCTCGTAGAAATGCTCATAGAACTTAATTTTATGCAGCAAATCAGTAGCTCACTTTATACTTCAGGATACAAACAGATTGGTGGATTGCACATCTTAAAACAACAAAGCAGCATGTGTAAGGGCGTGCTCCCACATCTCTTATCAGTCACACCTTCAGTGCAGATGCAATTACGCGCACTCCAGTGCGGTGCGGTGCGGTGCGGTGCAACACGCCTCTGTTACAAGGATCAGCGTGTATTTTGATCGCAACGGGCTTACGAATCCCAAACTTGCACTTCTCGCCACTTCTCCATCTCGTTCTTGTTTGTAGCAGCCTCGATAGACAATGCTGCTCCCGCCGCTGCACTGACTTTTGATAAAATGGTGAAGCAAAAAATGGAAACTGGGCAAGCAGAGAGGAGCATTGGCAGGGCAAGCAGAGGCAGCAGTGAGTGGTGGCAGTGGTGGTAGCACTTACCATGGCTACCTTGCGAGTGTCTAGAGGGCAGACATACGTGTACTCAAATGATACCCCTGGTCGCAGCACTGGCGGCTGTTCCACCACTCCATCCCCCTGTTGCTATGCCACGAGGGGAGAAGATGAGGGGTGTGAGTGGCAAGAAGGTGAGCGGATCGGGGGAGAAACGCGGGGTAAGTGGGGGGAGGTGGGGGGGAGTGGAGGTGGAATGAGAGATGGGCGAGAAAGGAGAAGAGGGGAGAGCGGGGGAGATGAGGGGCGAGAGAGAGGGTGATGAGGGGTGAGCAGGAGAAGGAGAAAGGAGATCCGGGAGTAGGTTATATGGGGAAAGAGGAGGGGAAGTTGAGGGAAGAGAAGGGGGGAAATGAGATGAGAGCGAGAAGGGAACGAGGGGAGAGCGGGGGGAATGAGCAGAGAGCGGAGGGGAAAGGGATGAGGCGAGAGCGGGAGAAAATAAGGCGAGAGCGGGACAAGATGAGGGATGTCCTTCGATCCCCCCCCTCCCCACTCCTCTCCTCCCCCCACCCCCCGTCCTCCTCTCTCCTCCCCCCACTTTCCCGCATTCCGTACCTCGCAACACACCCACGTCTCTTACCTTTCTCCTTCCATTTCTTCTACCGTTTCGGGGTGGCAACGCCGTCATTTACGCCTCCGCTTAATCACCTGCTTAACGAAATCAGGTAGGCGGTATCGGCGACGCTAATGGGCACGAACCGAAGCCTCTGATGTGTCTGCATGGGAGCGTGCTCGCGAATCAACATGCGCAGATTAACAATAATTATTCGTCCGCAAATTAACGGTACAACTGCGGTAATATATAAGAAATTAAATTTTGTACCGACTACTGGCGACTAACAAAGATCTGATGTCCGCAATTGGCGGTAACTACTTGAAGCCGATGCTAGCATTAATCACTGGCGGTTCTTACCTCACTACGTCAAATAACTAATAGTAAACACGACTAATAGTAAACTGTGCGGGATGATAAACCAAGAGGCGGCGGTAACGCCTCTAACAGACTGGAAACCAAGAAAGGATGATGACGGGAGAATATGGAGGAGCTAAAGAAGGGTGGTTGATGTGGCGTGGTGGTTGTGCCTCCCTCGATTCCTATTCGCTCGCGTGATTTTCCCTCAACCACCCCTCGCTATTTCAGCTGCCCCAATTTGGTTCGCAGTCAGCAAAGGGAGTTGCGAGAGCAGCTAAACCTCGCGAGACTTCAGCCGGATAAATCATTTAGCCCATTTCAACACCATCCCGCACCTCACGCTAGCCTCACTATATAACTCAACTTCTCGATTCAACAGTAAGTGCCACGTCAGTCTCCTCCTAAAAAATGTATCTTCCTGCCCCAGCTCTAAGCACAACCAGACCTTTCCACAAACAGTACGCGCCCTGAGATGATTCGTTTGCCTCAGCACAACCAAACCCAACCGAATAACCAGACTCTATACATTCCGAATTTGAATTTGAGACTTTTTAGATGTTATGCAAGACAGTTTGCTTGTTACTGTACACATCTCGGCCGCTTTTCACACTTCCAAACCGCGAATTCATTTTACCAATTGCACAGCTCGAACGAATCCCCGCCGTTGGCGGCGGCTACGGTCTTCATCACCATCATCCATTCAAATTGTGTCCTGCAACCCACCTGATACAATTTTCCCGCACTTCACAGGGCACAAAAGCAGCCGCGCCGTGTCGCATCCCTCTGTACCCAGCAACCCATCACATTTCATTTGAAAACGCGCTGCGGGAGGCGGCAAGCACCAAACACAAAGCGCAAATCAAGGCGGCTACTCCTTTCTCCGGCAGACGCATCTTTCCTGCTCTGCTCTCAGCTCATTCTTTCCACCGAAACCTGGTATAGTCCCACGGCTGAGTCCATTTTCGCATTATTTTTCCTTCACGATCTCATCGAAGGAATGTTCAGAGAAGCTCTTTCCTTACGAGCTCTCTAATACGGACTTCAAGCTACTTGCTCCACGGAGCAGTCCGTTCTACATGAAGCCACCCGGCTAGTACAAGGGGAAACACCAGGCATGCAGCAGCGCTGAGGTAGCGTAGAGTAGTTTAGAAGTCGTGGGTGGGGTGGGTTGGGTAGTTTAGAGAGTCTAGCGAGCTGCTTGCGTGCCTTGGTCGGAACCTTGTACGACGCCCTGGGTTGGTTGGTTGTCGCGGCAACACCTTCACCGCGATAGCCTTCTCGTGAACTCGTCACAGCAATATTCTCAGTACGCGGCAAGATCTTCAGTACGCGGCGAGATCTTCAGTACGCGACGAGAATGCACGGAGAATTCTTCACGGGGAGCAGCCAAAGCTGGATCAGAGCCCAACGACCAGAGCGCCATTCAACCACGTCAAGACCGATGTTGTCTTCGACGGCGTTTCTCCCCGTCCTCGCCGTTGCGGCGCGTCAGCTCTTCACGGCTTCACGCCAAAATGAAGACGCTTTGACGTAAGTACAGTCTTCTTACATACTTGGTTATCCTCTAAATAAGCTTTGCATTACACTTCTTCTGCTTCGAAGCTTTGATATTCTTCTGGAAAGAGTTTTGTTAAAGCCTTTTTTTTCGCTTTCCCTGCAGGCGACAACCTTTCCGTTCTGAGAGGCCAACGACCCGAGAGCCGACCGTCTCGACGCTTCCAAGTCCAAGTCAAGACTTGAGAGCCAAAGACAAGACCGATGGAGCCTTTGATGGCGTTTCTCCCCGTCCTCGCCGCTGTTGCGCGTCAAGTCTTCACGTCTTCACGAAGAGATGAAGACGCTTGGCGTAAGTGCAGTCTCTTTGAACTCTTTTCTACTTTCGCGCTTTTCTTAAACATTGCCGCTTTCTAAGCTTCTAATATCTTCTGAGGGGAATTATATTAATGCGAATTTTGTTGACCCTGCAGGCGACCATCTTGAGAGCCCAGCGACCATCTGCGATGACCACCTTGAATGTCAAAACCGACGAACCTTCAATCGCACGAGCTCTCTCTCAACGACGACGGTCCAAGCTCTCACTCAACGACGACCGCGGCGATTCGCATGACGACTATCCTGTCCCGCGGAACTTCAGTGAGGTTCTTTTTCAAGCCTCACCACAATGAAGGTAAGTGCGGCTCCGTTTTAGAGCCCTTTCGTTTTTTACGCGTGAAGAGTTTCGCTTTTTTTTACTTTCTCTGTTTCTAAGCTTTCAATATTTTCTGATGAGAATTATACTAACGCGTTTTTCGTTGACCCCTGCAGGCGACCATCTTGAGAGCCCAACGACCGTCTGCGATGAGCCCTCTCTGAACGACGTCGGCAGCGATTTCCGTCGCATGGCGACTCTCCCGCGCGGAACTTCGCGTTCCCTTTGGCGACGCTTGACTCGAGTCTTCGCAAGCGGCGCTTCCATCGTCGCGAGGGGATTTCAAGGCATGGTGTTTCCATCGTCGCGAGGGTCGCTTCCATTGTCGCATGGCGTTAGGCGACGGTGCGTTCCGCTGACGACGGTTTTACCGTCGCTAGTGGCGCTTTGGTTACCAGATGGTAAGAACGCGATAACACCATCAGCACTTTCGATGCGTTTTTTTACTGTTATTCGTCCTTCTTTCAACGGTTCAGCTAACGGCTTTCCTTGTTCCCTGTAGATGGTGAGGAGACCCGTCGATGGCGCTTCTCCGGTCGCGCGGCGTCGCTTCGTCCGGGGCATGGCGACGAGTATCCCGTCGCACAGCGTCGCTTCGGCGGGAGCATGGCGACTCTTCACCCGTCGCGCGGCGCTTCGCACCGCGCTGGCGACGCCTCTCAGATTCGTCGTCGTTTTTCGTTTTGTCATCTTCCGTTTGTCATCTTTCGTCTCGTTTTCTTTCTTCGGCCTTTCTCACTCATGGTATGACGTGGCATGGTCAATGTGCAGCCTCCAGGAATGAAGAGTTAGAAGAAGGCTACGACCAAGAACAACCAACGTCAACGTCAAGACCAAGGCCACAACCAAGTCTACCTCCAAGACTTCGTCAACGTCATCGTCCAAGTCTACGACCAAGATTATGACCAAGACGACCAAGTCTACGATCAAGTCTACGACCAAGACGACCAAGACGACCAAGACCGACCAAGACGACCAAGACGACCAAGACGACCAAGCCTACGACCAAGACCGACCAAGACGACCAAGACGACCAAGACGACTAAGACGACCAAGACGACCAAGACCGACCAAGACGACCAAGCCTACGACCAAGACGACCAAGACGACCAAGCATACGACCAAGACGACCAAGACGACCAAGCCTACGACCAAGACGACCAAGACCGACCAAGACGACCAAGACGACCAAGACCGACCAAGACGACCAAGCCTACGACCAAGACGACCAAGCCTACGACCAAGACGACCAAGACTACGACCAAGACTTCGACCAAGACTTCGACCAAGACTTCGTCAACGTCAACGTCCAAGAATACGACCAAGCCTACGACGACCAAGCCTATGTGAACGACAACTTCCCTGGTGAGCTCGTCCTTTCAATTTTCCTTTTCCTTTTCCTTCAATTTACTAAATTTCTCTTTTTTTCCTAGGTTTGTGAAGTGGCAGGAGCGGCGGAGGGAGCGGGAGCGGGAGGAAAACCATCATTCCGTGGTAAGCTCGTCGATCCTGTTTAACATATTTTTTCCTTCACGTTTACCAACTTTCTCTTTTTCCCCTGGTTTGTGAAGGGACAGGAGCGCGGAGGGAGCTGGAGCGGGAGAAAGAACAACACCTTCCGTGGTAAGCTCGTCGTTCCAGTTAACTCCTTTTATTCCTTCACGTTTACTTACTTTCTCTTTTTTTTCCTTGGTTGGTGAAGTGGCTGGAGCGCGGAGGGAACGGGAGCGCGGAGGAGGAACAACACCTTCCGTGGTAAGCTCGTCGTTCCAGTTAACTTCTTTTTTTTTCCTTCACGTTTACTTACTTTCTCTTTTTTTCCTTGGTTTGTGAAGTGGCAGGAGCGCGGAGGGAACGGGAGCGCGGAGGAAGAACAACATTCCGTGGTAAGCTCGTCGTTCCAGTTTAGCTTCTATTGTTCCTTCACGTTTACTAACTTTCTCTTGTTTCTCCTTTGATTGTGAAGCGGCAGGAGCGTGGAGGGAGCGGGAGCACGGAGGAAGAACAACATTCCGTGGTAAGCTCGTCGTTCCAGTTTAGCTTCTTGTTCCTTCACGTTTACTTACTACTTTCTCTTTTTTTTTCCTTTGTTTGTGATGTGGCAGGAGCGCGGATCCGCGCGGATCCTCGAGGGAGCGGTAGCGCGGAGGAGGAATAACACCCTTCCCTGGTATGCTCGTCGTTCCAGTTAACATATTTTTTTCCTTCACATTTACTAACTTCCTCTTGTTTTTCCTTGGTTTGTGAAGCTGGAGTTGGTGGGAGCTGGAGCGGAATCGGGAGCGGCGGGAGCACGAGCGGGAGCTTCTGTCAGGTGATATCGTCCATTCAGCTTTTGTGTGTGGTTTGGAATTCACTAAGGACGCGTCACATTTGAAAAACCGAGGAAGGATCGGGGATTTTCACCGACCCTGCAAAATCGATCGCCACATCGGTGTGCCACGACTGAATTTTTGCAATCGCGGACCCACCGCAAGTCCCAAGTGACACGATCGGAAAATCATGGGGCAAAATTGCCCGATGTGGA